CAATACCTGCGCCACTTCCGCTGGCGGGACATGCTGCAGGTGGGCATCGGAAACTGGACCCTGGCTTTCTGCAAGGCCTGCTGGCGGTTGCAGGAGGGGCCCAGGTACCAGACAGTGGCCAGCATTGCAGCCTGGTTCAAGTGAATCGACCGGCTGGCCTGGCCTCCCCAGTGGAGCTCCCCTCTTGGGATTCACCTTATGAGTGGTGCAATTTGAGGGGGCCTTAAAACTTAAGGAGGGGTATTTTAGTTTTCTGTTTGTTTCTTTTTGTCTTATTGAGCCAGGGCCTCCCCAAGCAGTTAAGGCTGTCCATGAGCTCACTTTGTAGCCCAGGCTGGTGCAGAATTCTCAGCAATCCTCCTGCCTCAGCCTCCTGAGTCCTGGGATTACAGGCTTGTGCTACCACGTCTGGCTTCTTTTTTTGTACCTGGGATTCAACTCACAACCCCGGGCTTGGCAGGTAGGCACTTGTTCTCCTGAGCCAAGTCCCCAGACCCTCTTTAAGGGGGTTTTAACTGTGTGGTGTCACCTATCTGGAGTCCCATCTGCCTTGGTCCCACTAGCAGGAGGAAATCTCCTGCGAGGCTCTCACTTGCTGTGATCACCCTGAGGGGATCTCAGCTGTCTGGTTTCTCAATTCCTGGGTCCAGCCTGCAGGAGCCTCCCCTGCTGGGGACCCTGGCTGTGGTGGCCAGGCAGCCGGGGACCTCACCCATCAGACCCACCAGTGACAGCTGCTCTGGCCGTTTTTTCCCCGATGGTGTTTCCTGCCCGTGGGCCCCGCAGACAGGCCCTGCTGTCCTTATTTCCCCAGTGGCTGTGACGGAAGGAAAAGGCTGTGTGTCCTTCTTGTTCTAGAATAACAGCTCTGACCACGGCGTGCTTTGGGCCATAACCAGGGTCACGTGGTGACATCCAGAGATAGCTGTGATTTTCACATATGGGGGAAAAGGGAAGGATGTCATCTAGTACAGTGCTGATTGCTGTTTGTGGCCTCATAAGAACCAGGCCACACAGCAGGTGTGAGGGGTGGCAGAGCAGTGGGGGAGGCTTCCTCTGTATTTCCAGCCTCTCCCCACCACTCACCACCACCTGAGCTCTGCCACCTGTCAGACCAGAGAGCACTGGATTCTCCCAGCAGCACAAAGCCCACTGCGACCTGCACACATGCAGGACTGACACTGAGTGACTTACAAGAATCTGGCTGATGACCTGAGGTGGAGCTGAGGCGGTGATGCTAGCCATGGGGAGGTGCTGCAAATGCAGATTCACATTAGCAGAGGTTGGACTGCCCAGAGACCACAAATCAACTGTTCCCACACTCATGTGCAAACCCTCTCAGGGAGCGGCAAGTGACATCCAGCTGCCACTGGTGGCAGGCTTCACAGTGCCAACTGAGTTGATGTAACTTAGTGGTGTAGCTTTATCTGGTGGCAGGCTTTAAGTCAGAGTCTGACAATGGTTTAGCCTGGATGCAGCCCTCTGAGGGCACTGACCTTCTCATCTGCATTTCTTTCTTGGACTGAGTTCTCGTCCCAGTCCCAGTTTCTGTGAGGTTACAGGCCAATCCCAGCCAAAATAACTTACAGGCAAATGTCACTGGAAGGCTTCTTTAAAAATAGGCAAGGACCCAAAGACGAGCCAACAAAAGACTCTTCAGAGTGCCAATGAAAGGAAGGTGCAATTAAAACAAATTAGGGACAGGGCTGGAGATTTAGTTCAGGGGCATAAGTGCCTGCCTTGCAAGGGTGTGGTCGTGAGTTTGTTCCCTGGTACCGAGAAATAGAAACAGACAAAAAAAATTAAAAAGAAAAGAAAGTAGCAAGAGCCCCCCCCCATCGTACTGGCTCACGGCAGGAAGAGATGTACGTGTGCCACGTGGCCTTGTAGAGTGAGTATAACCAGTTATCCAGCAAAGCCAGGACACCTTCCAGACTGCTCTGCCACCTGGGAGCCAAAGACCTGATTTACAAGAAAACCCTTCAGAGTTTTTCACAAGGAGAAAACAAAGCACCGATGGCCTTATGGTCGGCCACCATTTCATCCAGCGGGTCTGCCTATGGACCAGCGTCCTTCTCGGTGCCCAGCCATGTGGGTAAAGCTACAGAGCCCTTTAGATCCAAAAGTGCCCACCCTGCTGCTGCCAAGCCTTCTCTTGTAGAATCATAAGAGCGGCTCCAGGTCAACAGGTGCCAGGTGTCCCACTGAGCCAGCAGCATAACCCGGGTATGGCCGAGGGGCACTGAGTCGGCAGTGTCGGTGTTCGGGTCTCTGTGGTAGCCGGGGCTGCTGAGTCTGTGGTGCCAGCCACAAGGTTCCTTTCCGAGTGCTGCCGTATCAGAAGGGCAGGCAGGAAGATCACGTGTACTTCAGGTGCTACCCAGCACCACAGCGGTCAGCTCACCTTTTGGAAGGCCCCCTGCCCAGCAGGAGAGCTACAGCGGCCCGCTGGTGTCAGCACAGGCTGGTCAGGAGTCGATGCAGGCCAGGAGGCTGTTCCGGTGTCACTTTTCAGGGCAGACAGGGGGCAGAGATGTGAGTGTTCATACTGTGTCATCCCCAGCAAAAGGCGGGTGGCTGAACACTGTCTCTCAAACACAACAGTGTTTGGCAGGACCTGATTTAAATGATTGTTAGTGATGACATGTCAACTTCACTTCATAAGCACTGCTAAGCAGATCAGAAGGCCCTGGGTGTGTCTCCTGGCAAACTGGGGTGACACACACCCAGTCGTGGCTGGAACCAAGCCACAGGCTCCCAGCTCGGCCAGCACGGAAAAGGAAAGGATGCTTTGCTCTTTCTTGGAGAGGCCAGGGTCTTCAGCATTTCCTGTGTGCTTTGGCCTGCAGTGTTTTTCAGGCTTCCCGTGCAGACTCCAACATTGAGACCCGCACCCGGGACTCTACCGGGAGCTCTGGGACCTTTGGCCTTGTGGTGCTGCCGTATCTTCCGAGGCTCCAGAGTTCAGATGGCCATTCTGGATTCATCCATTTCTGTGCACCATCCTGTGTTTGATCCTGTAAGCTGCTTAATAAATCCCTGTGTTCAAGGCTCTCACTGGTCAATATTTGATTTTGTTTCCTGTTTTTCCTGTTTGTATTCAGTTTTGTCAGACCGGATCTCAGTATGTAGTTCAGGCTGCCTGGAACTCACTATGTAGCCAAATTTGGGCTCAAACTCACAGCGATCCTCCTGCCTCAGCCTCCAGAGTGCTGGGATGATAGGTGTGCCCCATCCGGCCCAGCTCGCTGGTCTGTGGACAATGAATTTTAGAATTATTTTCATAAATATGACAACGCAGTAATAGTAGAAACCGTCTTCTAGGTGAAACGCACTTGGTCATCATGAAACTGATCACAACCCACTGAGGATTCTTTTGCTCAGTTCACATGGAAATTACAAATCGGCAACATGCAGCTCCACTAGGGGACATCGGATAATGCTGGATGTCAGCAGCTGATCCTGCTGGCTGCTGGTCGATGTGGCTTCCAGCTGTTGCTGGCTCTCACTGGCTTGTGCTGGACATGCTAGGCCAACTCTGCCTGGTGCCGGCCCTGTTGCTGACCTCTGTCGTCTGCAGGTCTCTGGGGCTCTAAGGGCTAACCCCGCTTAGCTTGGCTTATTCTTTCTCTTGAGGCCACTGCTCCGTCCACACCGCAGGATAAGAATCCTGAGTAGATTCACAGGACTCTCCGAGCACTCGCGCCTGAGAAATTATCCAGAGCGGGGCCCCAGAGCAAGCCCGCTTTAACAGAAGCCTTGCCTCAGTAGAGGAGACCCTGCATGGCAAGCGACCACCTAGACTGACTCTGGAGTGCCTGCGTGCGTGCATGCGGGCCAGTGTTGCTTATATAGCAGCTGCAGGCCGGTGATTGGTCCGAGCCCAGGGCTGTGATTGGTGCAGGGCTCCAGGGCGGCCCCAGCGGGGGTGGGCTCTCGAGTGAGGGGGCGGGGCTGAAGCCAGGGAACCTTCTGGAAGGGCAGCTGTGGGGGCTCGGGGTTGCTCTCAGTGGGCCCAGATCCTTCCCCCTGGCTCGGCCCGCCACGGCGCCCCTCCCTTCTTCCAAAGGCGTCTTGTGGAGAGGAGCGGACGCCCCCTGACGGTAATGGTGCCGTGCCCCGCGCGCTCCCCTGGGTTGGGAGGCGGCAGGATCGGGTCCGGGTCCGGCCTGCCGCCTCCTGCTCCGGGCGCGTCTGCTGTATTACTCGGGGCCCCGTGGCCGGGGCCGGTCAGGGCGCCCGCGGCGGGGTGGGGCGCAGCTCCGGAGCCCCTCGGAAGGGGTGCAGGCCGGCTGCTCCCCGCCAGCCCTGAGCGCCGGAGGGCTGCACCGCGGCCTCGGCTGCTGCCCTATTTCGTGCTTGGAGGCCCCAGAACGTCTCGGGCTGTTGCTGGCCTGGGCTCTGGCCACTGGCGTAAAGATTAATCTGCCCCGAAGCCATGCTGGCCCTCGCCGCAAACCGCGCAGGCCCGCGCCGGCCCCGCAGTTGCTTTCTTGCTCACCCCGTCATTGTGTCTCTGTGCGCCTGAGTCGCCCTGTGTAATTCAGCCTGGCCCTGGGCTCTCTGTGGCCGAGTCTGACTTCAAGTTTGCAGCCACCCTCCTGCCTCAGCCTCCCGCGCGAGTGCCCGGACTGCAGGAGGGCGCCACCCTAAGGCGCCTGGCTTTCTCAACGGATGTTATGCCAATTTATTAATATTGGTGATTGCCCGCAGTGACTAACCCCTCAGCACGGCGGAATGTTCCAGGATAGACAGGAGAGGAAAGGAGTGGGGAACCGCAAACGTGGGGCTGCCGCCCCCGCCCTGCCACCCAGGAAACCCCGGGGCCATCATGGAACCCTGTCTGAGAACCACGGGCTCCACTCCCACTTCGAACTGGAGGAGCAGCCGGCCAGGAGCCCAGAGACACCCAGCATGGCCCAGGCCGAGGTGGGGCCTTGGACTTTGCCCAACCCAACAGTCTTCCCAAGTGTAATTGGGAAGGATTAGAGGAGCCCTGCTGTTGGCTTTTGGGTGAGAGGCCAGGGCCATACAGAAAGGTCACCTGATGCCCGGTGCAGAGGGCCAGACTGGGCCGAGCGCTGGCCGTGGCTCCACTTCCTTCTGCCATCATCGCCGCAAGAAGCAGCTGTCCCTTGTCTTTGCCTCCCAGGTAAGGGCTCTCAGGACAGATTCTCAACCCCCCAGCGCCCTGGTGACTCCAGGCTGGGCCTCTCCCCTCGTGTCCACGCCCCTGCCTTCCCGTCTTCCTGCAGCCTGGCTGCTCCCATGGAGGCTTTGGTCCGTGTGTGTCTCTGGGCATGTCTCGCCTTCACCATGATGTCCCCCCCGAGTGGCACCTTCAGCTAGGTTTGGTGACGCATGCCAGCACTTTGGAGGCTGAGGCAAGGGGATCCCGAGTCTGTGGCCTTCCTGGGAAAATTGGGAAGAGTCTGTCTCTAAAATATGCAGGCAAAAAAGGCCATTTTTCAGTTTTTTAGGAAAAACATTTTGCTGTCCGGGCTGGGTGACATCTCATCCCAGGCTTTGGTTCTCCCGTTCCACCCTCGCCCAAGCCCCTGCCCAGGCCTGGACTGTCTCTGAGGAGCGGCCACCACAGACGCATGTCCACGTGCATGGCAAGTGCATGTGATTTTTTAGGCAGGGTCTCGCTGTGCAGTCCAGATTGGCCTAGTACTCACTGTGACCCTCCTGCCTCAGCTTCCCAAGTGCTGGGATGACTGGCGAGCACCACCACCCCCAGCTGTGTTTTTTATTTTTATTAGCACATATGTTCAGGCTGCCGTGCTTCCATTCCCTGTGGGGAGCTGGACCTGTGCACAGCACATCTTAATTCTTCCTCTGGTCCCCGTCCCTCCCTCACGCCAACGCTCCATCCCCTCCCATCTGAGAGAGCCCTGTCCCCTGCTTCCCATGATCTACTTTTGATTTTGATCCTTTTTAATTCAAGATTCTCATGGAAGAGAAATCATACAGCGTGTAAGCCTGTGCATTGGATTTTTTTACCTAGCATCATGGTTCAGGGTGCCCTCAGTTGCCTACAGACGACTCACCCCGGTATATCTTTAAGGCACGATAATTCTCCATCGTGGGAGATTGCCTCGCTTTACCTGCCCCTCGAATCTTACACCGCTTGCAGACTTAGCTAGCGTGATGTCCCCAATGCGTCTGAGAAGGTACCTAGAATGGGGGACGTCGGGGCCAAATGGAATTTCTAGTTTGGGCTTCCTGAGGACTCTGCACACTGATTTCCAGAGTGCCTACGCCACTTTATATTTACCTACAGAGCAGAGGGGTTCATTTTCTCCTTCACACTCACCAGCATTTGTTGTTTGATTTCCTGATGACAGCCATCATCAGGACGAACCCTCAGTGTTTTTTAATTTGCAACTCTCTAATGCAGAGTGATGGTGGGCACCTCTTCATGTATTTATTGGTCATTTACCTTTCTTGTGTGGCTTGTGTATTCATTTTACTATTTTGTGACTGGGTCTCTTATTTAAGTAGGGGGTCTAATTTTTTAGTTTCTTTGCATCGTGTAGGTTGTCTTTTCTTCAGTCATTTTTTGCTGTGCAGAAGCTTTTAAATTTGAAATGACCCCATTAGCTGGTTCTCAGTCCTGTATTTCCTGTGCAACCAGGGTTCTGCTCAGAAAGTCCTTGTCTACACCTATGATGTCAAAAGATTTACCTGTTTTTCTATTCCAGCAGGATAAGTGCTTCTGTTTTAAAATTTCCTTCTTTGATCCATTTTTATTTTAGTTTAGTACATGGTGAGAGATGACAGGTCTGCACTCAATCTCCTGTCAGTTTTCCCAGCACCACTCATTACAGAGGCTGTCTTGCTTCGGTGGATGTTTTTAGCCCTTTTGTCAAAGATTAAATAGTGAATGTGCCTGTGGTAGTTTCTGTACCCTCTCTTCTGTTTCCTGGCCCTCATGCTGCTTTTTGTGTCAGTACATGCTGGGGTTTTGTTGTGTTTTAACCACACTGTTTTTGTCACCGTAGCTCTGTAACATACTTTCAAGCCTGGAACTGCGATGCGTCCCCGTTTACCCTTGTTACTCAAGATGGCTTTTGTTGTTTCGGGCCTCTCTTATTTCCATATGAACTTTAAGATTGTTTTCCCCAGTTCTGCCAAGAATGCTGTTAGTATTTGATTAGGATTGTGTTAAATCTGTATGTCAGCCTTGAAGTGTGGCCATTTTGATACATTGCTTCTGCCTACCCAGGAGCAAGGGGCATCTTTCTGCTTTCTGTTGTTGTTGCTTGAGCAGGGTCTCGCTGTGTGGTTCAGGCTGAACTTGGCCGCATAACAGTCGTCCTGCCTCAGCCTCCCACATGTTGAGGTTACAGGCGTGAGCCACCCGCCCCGTCACCTTTCCAGTTTAGGTGTGCACTGCAGTTTCCTGTTCCAGAGCGCTGGCGCTGTCACTGTGGTCGTGTCGCACTTCCTTGTTTCAGTGAACTGCTATGTGTTTAATGTTTCTGGGTGCTACTGTGACTGGCATTTTTCCCGACTTTCTGCTCAGCAGGTTCAGTGTACAGGGACATTCTGCATTTTGACATGTTGACTTTGTAACCGGCTACGTTATTCAATGTAGCTATTGCTTTAGGAACCCTTTCAGTGCATTTTGGGGGATTTTCTGTACACAAATCATGTACCCAGCACGTGGTCATGTGACGTCCTGCTTTCCTATGCGTCTCCTTATTTTATTTCTTTCCCTGCATACCGTCCTTGCTCATGTTTGGTACTGTGTTGCACAGAGGTGCTGACGGGGATGTCTTTGTCTTGTTCTTGCTTTTGGAGGGAAAATTTTCACTTTTCCCCTTTAATGTGGCTTTTGTCAGACTGCAGTGAGGTCCTAGAATATGCACTTTCCTCAGTATCGTTATGTGAAAGGGTGAGGGGTTTGTAAAGGCTTTGCCCGTGTCTGTTTGATGTCCTTGCTTCTGTTCCTGTGGTGCGTTTTATCTGCTGACTTGCGTAACTCGAACCATCCTTGCATTCCTGGAATGAAGTCTACGTGGTCCTGATGTTTGATCTTCTTGAAGATTCGTTGGATTCTGTTTGTTGAGAATGTCTGTGTCTCTGTTCATTAAAGAGATTGGTTTATACTTTTCTTTTTAGGTTGGATTCCTGCCTGGTTTGGGAATTGGGGTAATTCTAGCTTCCAGGAAAGTTGGGGAGCACCCCTTCCCTTTCTGGTCCGTCACAGAGCTTAACGAAGTGTCGGCATTAGGTCTTCCCTGAGGTTTGTGTGGAATTCTGCAGGGAGTCTGTCTGGGCGTGGACGTGTCCCAATGGCTGGGGTTTTTATTACTGTTTCAACCCTTACTCTAAATTCCAAGTAATCTCAGACCAGCCTTCTTTGCATCACCTGGAAGCTGTTGGATCCATCTCTCGAGTTCTCTTACTGTCTGAAAGGTACTACTCATTAGCACACACATGACGGGGCAGTGATTTGTATGTCTTGCTGCCAGCTGGCTCAGGTTTTAAGTTGATCATTCCACTAGCTGGAGCTGCCAGCAATACCCACGTGACTATCTGAGAAAACGAGGGCCACTGTGGCCGCAGAAAAAGCCAAAAGCATCCTGACGTTTTGCAAACCCTGCACAAACGAGCCACCACTATTTGTAAGATGTTTTAAAGGAATCCACAAATATAAGTATCTTTTTATTGAGTGAAATGTATTTGGTGACTATTGTTATAAATTTTAAGTGGTATGAATAGCATTCTTTTTTTTCTTTGTCTTTTTGAGACAGGGTCTCTATGCAGTCCAGGCTGGCTTTGAGCTCACTTTGTAGCCCAGGCTCATGGTCTGAAACTCGCCATGATCCTCCTGCCTCAGCCTTCCGAGTAGTGGGATTATAGGCGTGAACCACCATGCCTGGCTTATTTTTTCTTTTGAGACAGGGTCTCACTTTGTAGTGCAGGCTGGCCTTGAATTTGCTATGCAACCCAGGCTGACCTTGAACTCACTTTGATCCTCCTGCCTCAGCCTCCTGAGGCTGGGATTCAGGCGTGTGCCACCCACAGCAATCAATTCTGCTGTGCACTCTCTTGATAGAATTTTTGATGGCTCTCTCTTTTTTTTTTTTATGGGTACTGGGGATCGAACTCACAATCATGCGCTTGCAAGGCAGGTGCTTATTCCGCTGAGCTAAATCCTCAGCTTGATATAATTTTTTTTTGATGATAGAATTTTTGATCTCTCGATTTTCTGTTTGGAGTCTCTTGATGGATGCTAGTTCTCTTCTATGCTGGTCATTCATGTTTTGCATTGTTTTGTTTAGCTCTGTTAGCTTTTAATTAGTGTCTTCTGGTGCCTTGCCAAGATAATTTTATTTGGCCCAGTATCTGTTTACTGATACCTCCTGTGAGCTTGCTAAGTGCCTTATTGATCTGTTATCCCCCTGATATCCTTTCAAACAACCTGGGTGTGTGCCTTTTGGTTTCCTCCCCTTTGACACCTCATGGATCAAACGGAGGCTGGGTTAGGGTTGGGAGCTTTGGAAGGTTGGCTGCAGGCGTGGCTGCCAGCTTTGTTTTCGTTTGCTTGGCATTCGTGCTGAAGCGTGCGAGCTGGTTGCAGGGCACCGCTTTGTTTCCAGTGTGGAGACCGCGTTGGCGCATGTCCGCCTTTCAGTGAGCGCCTCCGGGACATGACTAAGTACCAGCCTCTGCCCGTCCCCAGAGTCAGCCTCCTCCATTGTTTGGGCAAATAACCTTTTCTCTAGGATGGGCCACGGTACCATTAAGGGTCCAAGGCAGGCAGATAGTGCCATCTCAAGAAAACCAACTAATAGCCATTAACAGCTGTGACAGCAGTGAGCAGCTATGACCCCTGGGCTGTGGTGAGAAACCGTGCGCCATTCCTGCATCAAATACAAACTTGTGTTGGCGAACCTTAGGGACAAACAGTGTATCCAAAAACGGCACTGTGAACAGTCAGAGGCATCCACTGTTGATCCACAGTAAAAGTTCACCCAGCACAACTTCCCTCTGCTGACAGAGCAGCAGTCAGCAGCAATGGCATCATTAACGAGGTGCCTGCACATTCATGCGCCTTAACAGTGGTATTAGAAAAAGTTGGGGAGGTGAAAAACCAGAGAATGAGAGAAGCAAAATTTGAAAAAAGTATCAATGGGGAATGCAAAAGAGAAAAAAGTGAGGTGGGGCTGGGGCAGGAGGGTCCCCTAGAGACGGAGGCCGCCAGGACTGCTCAGTGAGACCCTGTCTCCAAAAAACAAAAAGGAAGGCAGGGGAGGGGTAGACCCCAAATCCCACAGAATGCAATGAAGAAAAGATGAAAATAGAAAAATCAGAAAAGACCAAGTCAAAGAAAAACTTCCTGTGCATTTGAAGGAGTGGTTTGTTTCCAAGATCTGTGTCTGGAGCTCAGCCGGTCACAGCCCTGTGTCCGTTCACCCCGGATTGGTCACACCCAAGGCGTTCAGTGCATGACCTTTCTCCCAGTGGTGGGCAGGAAATGGTGTCAGCCTTCCGGTCTCTGCTGGACACTGACCTCAGATAGGAGTGTAAGAGTTGAGGTGGACAGTGTCCACAGCCTCGGGCTCTGGTTGTCCCTCCTCTCCAGGATCAGGGCAGTTGGTTAGTCCTGCCCCCACTGCCCTGGGCTATGGGGAGGGAAATCTAGACCAGCTTGGAGGAGGCAGCTGTCACACCTCACGTGGTGGGGCCTGGCCTCTGGCACTGGTTGCTTGCATCAGTGGGAGGCAGGCCCTACCTTTCTGTGTCTCTAGAACCTTTACAGAAATCATCACATTTTGGGGGGGTTATGCTACCAGTTGATGATTTCATTTATAGCTATAAACTTTGCTCTTAAAAATGCCTCCACTATGTCACGGGAGTTTTTTTCTTTTTCCTTTTCTTTCTTTCTTTTTTTTTTTTTTTTTTTTGGTCTTTGTGAGACAGGGTCTCAGTGTGCAGTTTGGGCTGGTCTTGAGCTCACTTTGTAGCTCAAACTCACAGCGATCCTCCTGCCTCAGCCTCCTGAGAGCTGGGACGACAGGTGTGCACCACCCTGCCCAGCTCTGTCCCATAAGCTTGGTGTTTTACACTTCTATAGTCATTCAATTCTAGAAACTCAATTTCTTCCTTGAATTATTGTTGGTTCCCTGGTTATGAGTAACCTATTGTTTAATCTTCATGTGTTTGCATAGTTTCTGTGGCTTACTCTGTTGATTTCTAGTTTTCTTCTGGTATAATTCAGGATTACTTCAATGCTTTTGCATTTACTTAGGCATGCTTTATGGCACAAACTATGGCCTATTTTGGACAAGGTTTCATGTGATGTTGGGAAAATGTGGATTCTGGGGCTGGGGATTTAGCTCAGTGGCATAACCACCTGCCTTGCAAGCAAGCGGTTGTGAGTTCCATCCCTGGTACTGATAAAAATGAAAAAGACAAAAAAAAAGAAAAGAAAAGAAAAATGTGAATTCTGTTGTTGGATGGTACAATCTGCAGATACCTGTTGAATCATTTTTAATGCTGTAGTTTAACACTGATAGTCCTTTTCTGATTTTTTTCTGCTTACCTTAGTTGATAGAGTGGGGTACTGAAGTTCCTTTGTATGATTATATTGGTGTCTATCTGCATTTTTTTTGTACTGAGCCTTGGACTCAGGACCTCAAGCTTGTTTGTTTTGAGGCCTTGATTGAATGGAATCATTTTCTGCCCTTTCATTTTCAATCTGTGCTGTTTGTTTTGGATGCATTGTGTCTCCTGTACGAAAGAGACGTGTACATTTGGGTTTAGGATCAAATCCACCCGTCCTTGTCTTTGGATTATGGAGTTGAGAACTCTGACATTGAAAGTGACAGTGCAAGGTGTGTCCTGAATTCTGGCATTGCTTGGTTTTTCCAGTGTTGATTGCTTTAGTTTTTCTTTGGCTCATACTATCCCACTTAGATTTATACTTCCTTGTGACCTCTTTGCGGTAGGTGGCTCCTCTGTCAGTCTGTCTGCCTGTCTAGCATACTCTTGACTATCTTCTGCAATGTTGGTTTAGGGGTTATGAATTTCTTTGCTGTGGAAACTTTGCCATTGATTCTGCAAGCTAATTTTGCAGGCTATGAATGTCTGGTTTAACTATTGTATTCTTTTATGGCTTGAATGAAGGACTTCACTCTAAGCTCTCCAGAGCTTCTCTATTTCTCATGAGAAATCTCCAGTTATTCTGATTACTGGGGACCTGGCCAGGGTCCCCAATCTCCCAAACAAGTGTATGGCAGAGGCTTAAATAAATGAGACAGTGGTGGGATTTTAGGGCTCCAGGTTGATCAAAACCCTCTGCAGAGTTCGAGCCTCTGGGGGCTGAGACGAGGGCTGTCTCTGGGCGGCCCGTATTTATTTAGTTTTTCAAACAGGGAACGAACGGTTAGAGTGGAAAATGCAGGAAACTGAGCAGAACCTGGGCTGGTCCGAGGACTCTGCCAGCTAACAGACTGTGTTAACTTAGGAGAAGGTCTCCATTGGCTTTTCACTCCTGAGCTACAGGATGTATTTAGCTGACTGGAGCTGGACCTGGCAGGCAGGGGAAGCGAACGGTGACTGCGTGGGGCTCGGCCTCTCCCACAGCCAGGGCAGGATTCCAGGGCGCTTGCTTCTCTTCTGCTTTGCCTTCAGTGTCTCTGCTTTCTGGGCTGATGGTCAGCTCTGGTTGGTTTCTGGAGCTCTTCCTTTGCTTCCCAGGAGGCTGCTGCCTTTCAACTTCAGGTCCTGGAGAGACTGTATTTTGCTACCAGCTTTTATGCTGCCCTTTTTTTCCTTGCACCCATTTCCAGGGCACAATTCCTGTGTAAAAGGGGAGACAGAGAGGCAGAGAGGGAGGAAGGAGCAGAGGGAGAAAGAGGGACTGCTGTGCTGCCTTCTCTACCATCCACCTCTGAGAATTTTCAGAAACACTATATGCATTAAACAATAACTCACCAGCACAATTGTGCACGGCTGCAATCCCAGCCCTCGGGAGGCTGAGGCAGGAGGGTCATTGTGAGTCCGAGACCAGCCTGGGCTACACAGTGAGCTCAAGGCCAGCCCGGACTGCAGAGAGAGCCGGTGTCAAAAAGACAAAAACAAAGCAAAGCGCCTCAAAAAACAGTAACTCCCCACTCTGTCTTCCCCTCCAGCTTCTGTCACTTGATTTTTCAATTGATCTGTTTTTTTGTTTTTTTGGTTTTTTCCTTTTTTATCAGTTCTGAGGATCCAACTCATGACCGCACCCTTGCAAGGCAGGCGCTTATGCCACTGAGCTAAATCCCCAGCCCCTTTTGCTTTTTTGATTTAAACTCCATCTTTTTCTGCAGTGCTGGGAGCAGAACACAGGGCCTGCTGTTTGCTAGCCCAGCGCTCACCCTGAGCCACAGCCCAGTCCAGTGCGTGTGAATGGACGGAGGGTCTCTGCGTTCACCTGGCCACAGCGCCCTGAGCTGGGTGTCTGTGTGCGGCTGCTCCTCCTCGCTTTCTTGGCCTTGCCCTCCAGCCCTGGCTAGCGGGTCCAGGCTTCCCTTCCTGGTCTCCGCGAGCAATGCTCTACTGAGCAGGTGGACTGCAGTGGACTGTGTCCACCTTTGTTCCATTGGCCTCGAAGCTGCTCGCTGGTCCCCAGTGTCCATTCCAATGCCCACCTGCCGGTCTCTGCCCAGATTTTCCGGAGAGCCATGCTGTGTCCAGGCTGAGTCTGTGGGCAGCACAGGTGCGGCTTTGAGAAGATGTGGTACCCGGTGCAGGCTGGCCTGGAGCTCCCAGTCCTCGCTCCTCAGCCTCCTCAGTGCTGACCTTACCAATGTGAGTGGCCACTTGTGGCTTTTTGGCCAGGTTTCTCTGGGGCCAGGGTTTGCATGGGATAGTTCCACTTGTGCCGAGTCATGTCATCTTAATCCTCATTCCTAAAGAAGGACAGTGACGCTCCTGATGGCATCCCCAATGCGGTTAACCTGGTCAGTCACCTTCTTCCCAGGCGCGGTCCCTGCCCCTGTAACGCTGTGTCCTCCCCTCTCCCGCAGCTGTCCTGGCCCATGGAGTGGCTCCGGGGTCCCTGGCGGCACTGTCTCTCCGGGCTGCTCTTACAGCTGCTCTTGTCCATCTGCTTCTTCTCTTACCTGAGGGTGACCTGGGACCCTCCCACGGGGTCCCCTACACCCGCGCCCAGCTCGGAAGACGTGGTCCCCACAACTCCCCAGAGGACCCCAGGGCTGGCTTCCACCACGCAGCCCCCCGCACCCCGGGGCCTGCTCATCCTGCTGTGGACCTGGCCATTCGGCCAGCCAGTGGCTCTGTCCCGCTGCTCGGAGATGCGGCCGGGCACAGCCGATTGCCGCATCACCGCCAACCGCAGTGTGTACCCCCAGGCCGATGCGGTCATCGTCCACCACCGGGACATCAGTTTCAAACCCAAGAGGCAGCTGCCACCTTCGCCTCGGCCACCGGGCCAGCGCTGGGTGTGGTTCAGCTTGGAGTCCCCCAGCCACTGCAGGCAGCTGGAGGCCCTGGATGGCTACTTCAACCTCACCATGTCCTACCGCAGGGACTCGGACATCTTCACGCCCTACGGCTGGCTGGAGCCCCGGGACGCCCAGCTCCCCGCCCCGCCCCTCAACCTCACGGCCAAGACCAAGCTGGTGGCCTGGGTTGTGTCCAACTGGAAGGAGAACTCGGCCCGGGTGGGGTACTACAACCAGCTGCGCCTGCACCTCCCGGTGGACGTGTACGGCAGGGGCCACCTGCCCCTGCCCCGCCAGGACATGCAGGAGCGCCTGGCCCGCTACAAGTTCTACCTGGCCTTCGAGAACTCGCAGCACCCCGACTACATCACCGAGAAGCTGTGGAACAATGCTCTGGGGGCGCCCGCCGTGCCCGTGGTCCTGGGCCCCAGCCGCACAGACTACGAGCGCGTCCTGCCGCCTGACGCCTTCATCCACGTGGACGACTTCCCGAGCCCCCGAGCCCTGGCACAGCACCTGCTGGCCCTGGACCAGGACGATGCCCAATACCTGCGCCACTTCCGCTGGCGGGACATGCTGCAGGTGGGCATCGGAAACTGGACCCTGGCTTTCTGCAAGGCCTGCTGGCGGTTGCAGGAGGGGCCCAGGTACCAGACAGTGGCCAGCATTGCAGCCTGGTTCAAGTGAATCGACCGGCTGGCCTGGCCTCCCCAGTGGAGCTCCCCTCTTGGGATTCACCTTATGAGTGGTGCAATTTGAGGGGGCCTTAAAACTTAAGGAGGGGTATTTTAGTTTTCTGTTTGTTTCTTTTTGTCTTATTGAGCCAGGGCCTCCCCAAGCAGTTAAGGCTGTCCATGAGCTCACTTTGTAGCCCAGGCTGGTGCAGAATTCTCAGCAATCCTCCTGCCTCAGCCTCCTGAGTCCTGGGATTACAGGCTTGTGCTACCACGTCTGGCTTCTTTTTTTGTACCTGGGATTCAACTCACAACCCCGGGCTTGGCAGGTAGGCACTTGTTCTCCTGAGCCAAGTCCCCAGACCCTCTTTAAGGGGGTTTTAACTGTGTGGTGTCACCTATCTGGAGTCCCATCTGCCTTGGTCCCACTAGCAGGAGGAAATCTCCTGCGAGGCTCTCACTTGCTGTGATCACCCTGAGGGGATCTCAGCTGTCTGGTTTCTCAATTCCTGGGTCCAGCCTGCAGGAGCCTCCCCTGCTGGGGACCCTGGCTGTGGTGGCCAGGCAGCCGGGGACCTCACCCATCAGACCCACCAGTGACAGCTGCTCTGGCCGTTTTTTCCCCGATGGTGTTTCCTGCCCGTGGGCCCCGCAGACAGGCCCTGCTGTCCTTATTTCCCCAGTGGCTGTGACGGAAGGAAAAGGCTGTGTGTCCTTCTTGTTCTAGAATAACAGCTCTGACCACGGCGTGCTTTGGGCCATAACCAGGGTCACGTGGTGACATCCAGAGATAGCTGTGATTTTCACATATGGGGGAAAAGGGAAGGATGTCATCTAGTACAGTGCTGATTGCTGTTTGTGGCCTCATAAGAACCAGGCCACACAGCAGGTGTGAGGGGTGGCAGAGCAGTGGGGGAGGCTTCCTCTGTATTTCCAGCCTCTCCCCACCACTCACCACCACCTGAGCTCTGCCACCTGTCAGACCAGAGAGCACTGGATTCTCCCAGCAGCACAAAGCCCACTGCGACCTGCACACATGCAGGACTGACACTGAGTGACTTACAAGAATCTGGCTGATGACCTGAGGTGGAGCTGAGGCGGTGATGCTAGCCATGGGGAGGTGCTGCAAATGCAGATTCACATTAGCAGAGGTTGGACTGCCCAGAGACCACAAATCAACTGTTCCCACACTCATGTGCAAACCCTCTCAGGGAGCGGCAAGTGACATCCAGCTGCCACTGGTGGCAGGCTTCACAGTGCCAACTGAGTTGATGTAACTTAGTGGTGTAGCTTTATCTGGTGGCAGGCTTTAAGTCAGAGTCTGACAATGGTTTAGCCTGGATGCAGCCCTCTGAGGGCACTGACCTTCTCATCTGCATTTCTTTCTTGGACTGAGTTCTCGTCCCAGTCCCAGTTTCTGTGAGGTTACAGGCCAATCCCAGCCAAAATAACTTACAGGCAAATGTCACTGGAAGGCTTCTTTAAAAATAGGCAAGGACCCAAAGACGAGCCAACAAAAGACTCTTCAGAGTGCCAATGAAAGGAAGGTGCAATTAAAACAAATTAGGGACAGGGCTGGAGATTTAGTTCAGGGGCATAAGTGCCTGCCTTGCAAGGGTGTGGTCGTGAGTTTGTTCCCTGGTACCGAGAAATAGAAACAGACAAAAAAAATTAAAAAGAAAAGAAAGTAGCAAGAGCCCCCCCCCATCGTACTGGCTCACGGCAGGAAGAGATGTACGTGTGCCACGTGGCCTTGTAGAGTGAGTATAACCAGTTATCCAGCAAAGCCAGGACACCTTCCAGACTGCTCTGCCACCTGGGAGCCAAAGACCTGATTTACAAGAAAACCCTTCAGAGTTTTTCACAAGGAGAAAACAAAGCACCGATGGCCTTATGGTCGGCCACCATTTCATCCAGCGGGTCTGCCTATGGACCAGCGTCCTTCTCGGTGCCCAGCCATGTGGGTAAAGCTACAGAGCCCTTTAGATCCAAAAGTGCCCACCCTGCTGCTGCCAAGCCTTCTCTTGTAGAATCATAAGAGCGGCTCCAGGTCAACAGGTGCCAGGTGTCCCACTGAGCCAGCAGCATAACCCGGGTATGGCCGAGGGGCACTGAGTCGGCAGTGTCGGTGTTCGGGTCTCTGTGGTAGCCGGGGCTGCTGAGTCTGTGGTGCCAGCCACAAGGTTCCTTTCCGAGTGCTGCCGTATCAGAAGGGCAGGCAGGAAGATCACGTGTACTTCAGGTGCTACCCAGCACCACAGCGGTCAGCTCACCTTTTGGAAGGCCCCCTGCCCAGCAGGAGAGCTACAGCGGCCCGCTGGTGTCAGCACAGGCTGGTCAGGAGTCGATGCAGGCCAGGAGGCTGTTCCGGTGTCACTTTTCAGGGCAGACAGGGGGCAGAGATGTGAGTGTTCATACTGTGTCATCCCCAGCAAAAGGCGGGTGGCTGAACACTGTCTCTCAAACACAACAGTGTTTGGCAGGACCTGATTTAAATGATTGTTAGTGATGACATGTCAACTTCACTTCATAAGCACTGCTAAGCAGATCAGAAGGCCCTGGGTGTGTCTCCTGGCAAACTGGGGTGACACACACCCAGTCGTGGCTGGAACCAAGCCACAGGCTCCCAGCTCGGCCAGCACGGAAAAGGAAAGGATGCTTTGCTCTTTCTTGGAGAGGCCAGGGTCTTCAGCATTTCCTGTGTGCTTTGGCCTGCAGTGTTTTTCAGGCTTCCCGTGCAGACTCCAACATTGAGACCCGCACCCGGGACTCTACCGGGAGCTCTGGGACCTTTGGCCTTGTGGTGCTGCCGTATCTTCCGAGGCTCCAGAGTTCAGATGGCCATTCTGGATTCATCCATTTCTGTGCACCATCCTGTGTTTGATCCTGTAAGCTGCTTAATAAATCCCTGTGTTCAAGGCTCTCACTGGTCAATATTTGATTTTGTTTCCTGTTTTTCCTGTTTGTATTCAGTTTTGTCAGACCGGATCTCAGTATGTAGTTCAGGCTGCCTGGAACTCACTATGTAGCCAAATTTGGGCTCAAACTCACAGCGATCCTCCTGCCTCAGCCTCCAGAGTGCTGGGATGATAGGTGTGCCCCATCCGGCCCAGCTCGCTGGTCTGTGGACAATGAATTTTAGAATTATTTTCATAAATATGACAACGCAGTAATAGTAGAAACCGTCTTCTAGGTGAAACGCACTTGGTCATCATGAAACTGATCACAACCCACTGAGGATTCTTTTGCTCAGTTCACATGGAAATTACAAATCGGCAACATGCAGCTCCACTAGGGGACATCGGATAATGCTGGATGTCAGCAGCTGATCCTGCTGGCTGCTGGTCGATGTGGCTTCCAGCTGTTGCTGGCTCTCACTGGCTTGTGCTGGACATGCTAGGCCAACTCTGCCTGGTGCCGGCCCTGTTGCTGACCTCTGTCGTCTGCAGGTCTCTGGGGCTCTAAGGGCTAACCCCGCTTAGCTTGGCTTATTCTTTCTCTTGAGGCCACTGCTCCGTCCACACCGCAGGATAAGAATCCTGAGTAGATTCACAGGACTCTCCGAGCACTCGCGCCTGAGAAATTATCCAGAGCGGGGCCCCAGAGCAAGCCCGCTTTAACAGAAGCCTTGCCTCAGTAGAGGAGACCCTGCATGGCAAGCGACCACCTAGACTGACTCTGGAGTGCCTGCGTGCGTGCATGCGGGCCAGTGTTGCTTATATAGCAGCTGCAGGCCGGTGATTGGTCCGAGCCCAGGGCTGTGATTGGTGCAGGGCTCCAGGGCGGCCCCAGCGGGGGTGGGCTCTCGAGTGAGGGGGCGGGGCTGAAGCCAGGGAACCTTCTGGAAGGGCAGCTGTGGGGGCTCGGGGTTGCTCTCAGTGGGCCCAGATCCTTCCCCCTGGCTCGGCCCGCCACGGCGCCCCTCCCTTCTTCCAAAGGCGTCTTGTGGAGAGGAGCGGACGCCCCCTGACGGTAATGGTGCCGTGCCCCGCGCGCTCCCCTGGGTTGGGAGGCGGCAGGATCGGGTCCGGGTCCGGCCTGCCGCCTCCTGCTCCGGGCGCGTCTGCTGTATTACTCGGGGCCCCGTGGCCGGGGCCGGTCAGGGCGCCCGCGGCGGGGTGGGGCGCAGCTCCGGAGCCCCTCGGAAGGGGTGCAGGCCGGCTGCTCCCCGCCAGCCCTGAGCGCCGGAGGGCTGCACCGCGGCCTCGGCTGCTGCCCTATTTCGTGCTTGGAGGCCCCAGAACGTCTCGGGCTGTTGCTGGCCTGGGCTCTGGCCACTGGCGTAAAGATTAATCTGCCCCGAAGCCATGCTGGCCCTCGCCGCAAACCGCGCAGGCCCGCGCCGGCCCCGCAGTTGCTTTCTTGCTCACCCCGTCATTGTGTCTCTGTGCGCCTGAGTCGCCCTGTGTAATTCAGCCTGGCCCTGGGCTCTCTGTGGCCGAGTCTGACTTCAAGTTTGCAGCCACCCTCCTGCCTCAGCCTCCCGCGCGAGTGCCCGGACTGCAGGAGGGCGCCACCCTAAGGCGCCTGGCTTTCTCAACGGATGTTATGCCAATTTATTAATATTGGTGATTGCCCGCAGTGACTAACCCCTCAGCACGGCGGAATGTTCCAGGATAGACAGGAGAGGAAAGGAGTGGGGAACCGCAAACGTGGGGCTGCCGCCCCCGCCCTGCCACCCAGGAAACCCCGGGGCCATCATGGAACCCTGTCTGAGAACCACGGGCTCCACTCCCACTTCGAACTGGAGGAGCAGCCGGCCAGGAGCCCAGAGACACCCAGCATGGCCCAGGCCGAGGTGGGGCCTTGGACTTTGCCCAACCCAACAGTCTTCCCAAGTGTAATTGGGAAGGATTAGAGGAGCCCTGCTGTTGGCTTTTGGGTGAGAGGCCAGGGCCATACAGAAAGGTCACCTGATGCCCGGTGCAGAGGGCCAGACTGGGCCGAGCGCTGGCCGTGGCTCCACTTCCTTCTGCCATCATCGCCGCAAGAAGCAGCTGTCCCTTGTCTTTGCCTCCCAGGTAAGGGCTCTCAGGACAGATTCTCAACCCCCCAGCGCCCTGGTGACTCCAGGCTGGGCCTCTCCCCTCGTGTCCACGCCCCTGCCTTCCCGTCTTCCTGCAGCCTGGCTGCTCCCATGGAGGCTTTGGTCCGTGTGTGTCTCTGGGCATGTCTCGCCTTCACCATGATGTCCCCCCCGAGTGGCACCTTCAGCTAGGTTTGGTGACGCATGCCAGCACTTTGGAGGCTGAGGCAAGGGGATCCCGAGTCTGTGGCCTTCCTGGGAAAATTGGGAAGAGTCTGTCTCTAAAATATGCAGGCAAAAAAGGCCATTTTTCAGTTTTTTAGGAAAAACATTTTGCTGTCCGGGCTGGGTGACATCTCATCCCAGGCTTTGGTTCTCCCGTTCCACCCTCGCCCAAGCCCCTGCCCAGGCCTGGACTGTCTCTGAGGAGCGGCCACCACAGACGCATGTCCACGTGCATGGCAAGTGCATGTGATTTTTTAGGCAGGGTCTCGCTGTGCAGTCCAGATTGGCCTAGTACTCACTGTGACCCTCCTGCCTCAGCTTCCCAAGTGCTGGGATGACTGGCGAGCACCACCACCCCCAGCTGTGTTTTTTATTTTTATTAGCACATATGTTCAGGCTGCCGTGCTTCCATTCCCTGTGGGGAGCTGGACCTGTGCACAGCACATCTTAATTCTTCCTCTGGTCCCCGTCCCTCCCTCACGCCAACGCTCCATCCCCTCCCATCTGAGAGAGCCCTGTCCCCTGCTTCCCATGATCTACTTTTGATTTTGATCCTTTTTAATTCAAGATTCTCATGGAAGAGAAATCATACAGCGTGTAAGCCTGTGCATTGGATTTTTTTACCTAGCATCATGGTTCAGGGTGCCCTCAGTTGCCTACAGACGACTCACCCCGGTATATCTTTAAGGCACGATAATTCTCCATCGTGGGAGATTGCCTCGCTTTACCTGCCCCTCGAATCTTACACCGCTTGCAGACTTAGCTAGCGTGATGTCCCCAATGCGTCTGAGAAGGTACCTAGAATGGGGGACGTCGGGGCCAAATGGAATTTCTAGTTTGGGCTTCCTGAGGACTCTGCACACTGATTTCCAGAGTGCCTACGCCACTTTATATTTACCTACAGAGCAGAGGGGTTCATTTTCTCCTTCACACTCACCAGCATTTGTTGTTTGATTTCCTGATGACAGCCATCATCAGGACGAACCCTCAGTGTTTTTTAATTTGCAACTCTCTAATGCAGAGTGATGGTGGGCACCTCTTCATGTATTTATTGGTCATTTACCTTTCTTGTGTGGCTTGTGTATTCATTTTACTATTTTGTGACTGGGTCTCTTATTTAAGTAGGGGGTCTAATTTTTTAGTTTCTTTGCATCGTGTAGGTTGTCTTTTCTTCAGTCATTTTTTGCTGTGCAGAAGCTTTTAAATTTGAAATGACCCCATTAGCTGGTTCTCAGTCCTGTATTTCCTGTGCAACCAGGGTTCTGCTCAGAAAGTCCTTGTCTACACCTATGATGTCAAAAGATTTACCTGTTTTTCTATTCCAGCAGGATAAGTGCTTCTGTTTTAAAATTTCCTTCTTTGATCCATTTTTATTTTAGTTTAGTACATGGTGAGAGATGACAGGTCTGCACTCAATCTCCTGTCAGTTTTCCCAGCACCACTCATTACAGAGGCTGTCTTGCTTCGGTGGATGTTTTTAGCCCTTTTGTCAAAGATTAAATAGTGAATGTGCCTGTGGTAGTTTCTGTACCCTCTCTTCTGTTTCCTGGCCCTCATGCTGCTTTTTGTGTCAGTACATGCTGGGGTTTTGTTGTGTTTTAACCACACTGTTTTTGTCACCGTAGCTCTGTAACATACTTTCAAGCCTGGAACTGCGATGCGTCCCCGTTTACCCTTGTTACTCAAGATGGCTTTTGTTGTTTCGGGCCTCTCTTATTTCCATATGAACTTTAAGATTGTTTTCCCCAGTTCTGCCAAGAATGCTGTTAGTATTTGATTAGGATTGTGTTAAATCTGTATGTCAGCCTTGAAGTGTGGCCATTTTGATACATTGCTTCTGCCTACCCAGGAGCAAGGGGCATCTTTCTGCTTTCTGTTGTTGTTGCTTGAGCAGGGTCTCGCTGTGTGGTTCAGGCTGAACTTGGCCGCATAACAGTCGTCCTGCCTCAGCCTCCCACATGTTGAGGTTACAGGCGTGAGCCACCCGCCCCGTCACCTTTCCAGTTTAGGTGTGCACTGCAGTTTCCTGTTCCAGAGCGCTGGCGCTGTCACTGTGGTCGTGTCGCACTTCCTTGTTTCAGTGAACTGCTATGTGTTTAATGTTTCTGGGTGCTACTGTGACTGGCATTTTTCCCGACTTTCTGCTCAGCAGGTTCAGTGTACAGGGACATTCTGCATTTTGACATGTTGACTTTGTAACCGGCTACGTTATTCAATGTAGCTATTGCTTTAGGAACCCTTTCAGTGCATTTTGGGGGATTTTCTGTACACAAATCATGTACCCAGCACGTGGTCATGTGACGTCCTGCTTTCCTATGCGTCTCCTTATTTTATTTCTTTCCCTGCATACCGTCCTTGCTCATGTTTGGTACTGTGTTGCACAGAGGTGCTGACGGGGATGTCTTTGTCTTGTTCTTGCTTTTGGAGGGAAAATTTTCACTTTTCCCCTTTAATGTGGCTTTTGTCAGACTGCAGTGAGGTCCTAGAATATGCACTTTCCTCAGTATCGTTATGTGAAAGGGTGAGGGGTTTGTAAAGGCTTTGCCCGTGTCTGTTTGATGTCCTTGCTTCTGTTCCTGTGGTGCGTTTTATCTGCTGACTTGCGTAACTCGAACCATCCTTGCATTCCTGGAATGAAGTCTACGTGGTCCTGATGTTTGATCTTCTTGAAGATTCGTTGGATTCTGTTTGTTGAGAATGTCTGTGTCTCTGTTCATTAAAGAGATTGGTTTATACTTTTCTTTTTAGGTTGGATTCCTGCCTGGTTTGGGAATTGGGGTAATTCTAGCTTCCAGGAAAGTTGGGGAGCACCCCTTCCCTTTCTGGTCCGTCACAGAGCTTAACGAAGTGTCGGCATTAGGTCTTCCCTGAGGTTTGTGTGGAATTCTGCAGGGAGTCTGTCTGGGCGTGGACGTGTCCCAATGGCTGGGGTTTTTATTACTGTTTCAACCCTTACTCTAAATTCCAAGTAATCTCAGACCAGCCTTCTTTGCATCACCTGGAAGCTGTTGGATCCATCTCTCGAGTTCTCTTACTGTCTGAAAGGTACTACTCATTAGCACACACATGACGGGGCAGTGATTTGTATGTCTTGCTGCCAGCTGGCTCAGGTTTTAAGTTGATCATTCCACTAGCTGGAGCTGCCAGCAATACCCACGTGACTATCTGAGAAAACGAGGGCCACTGTGGCCGCAGAAAAAGCCAAAAGCATCCTGACGTTTTGCAAACCCTGCACAAACGAGCCACCACTATTTGTAAGATGTTTTAAAGGAATCCACAAATATAAGTATCTTTTTATTGAGTGAAATGTATTTGGTGACTATTGTTATAAATTTTAAGTGGTATGAATAGCATTCTTTTTTTTCTTTGTCTTTTTGAGACAGGGTCTCTATGCAGTCCAGGCTGGCTTTGAGCTCACTTTGTAGCCCAGGCTCATGGTCTGAAACTCGCCATGATCCTCCTGCCTCAGCCTTCCGAGTAGTGGGATTATAGGCGTGAACCACCATGCCTGGCTTATTTTTTCTTTTGAGACAGGGTCTCACTTTGTAGTGCAGGCTGGCCTTGAATTTGCTATGCAACCCAGGCTGACCTTGAACTCACTTTGATCCTCCTGCCTCAGCCTCCTGAGGCTGGGATTCAGGCGTGTGCCACCCACAGCAATCAATTCTGCTGTGCACTCTCTTGATAGAATTTTTGATGGCTCTCTCTTTTTTTTTTTTATGGGTACTGGGGATCGAACTCACAATCATGCGCTTGCAAGGCAGGTGCTTATTCCGCTGAGCTAAATCCTCAGCTTGATATAATTTTTTTTTGATGATAGAATTTTTGATCTCTCGATTTTCTGTTTGGAGTCTCTTGATGGATGCTAGTTCTCTTCTATGCTGGTCATTCATGTTTTGCATTGTTTTGTTTAGCTCTGTTAGCTTTTAATTAGTGTCTTCTGGTGCCTTGCCAAGATAATTTTATTTGGCCCAGTATCTGTTTACTGATACCTCCTGTGAGCTTGCTAAGTGCCTTATTGATCTGTTATCCCCCTGATATCCTTTCAAACAACCTGGGTGTGTGCCTTTTGGTTTCCTCCCCTTTGACACCTCATGGATCAAACGGAGGCTGGGTTAGGGTTGGGAGCTTTGGAAGGTTGGCTGCAGGCGTGGCTGCCAGCTTTGTTTTCGTTTGCTTGGCATTCGTGCTGAAGCGTGCGAGCTGGTTGCAGGGCACCGCTTTGTTTCCAGTGTGGAGACCGCGTTGGCGCATGTCCGCCTTTCAGTGAGCGCCTCCGGGACATGACTAAGTACCAGCCTCTGCCCGTCCCCAGAGTCAGCCTCCTCCATTGTTTGGGCAAATAACCTTTTCTCTAGGATGGGCCACGGTACCATTAAGGGTCCAAGGCAGGCAGATAGTGCCATCTCAAGAAAACCAACTAATAGCCATTAACAGCTGTGACAGCAGTGAGCAGCTATGACCCCTGGGCTGTGGTGAGAAACCGTGCGCCATTCCTGCATCAAATACAAACTTGTGTTGGCGAACCTTAGGGACAAACAGTGTATCCAAAAACGGCACTGTGAACAGTCAGAGGCATCCACTGTTGATCCACAGTAAAAGTTCACCCAGCACAACTTCCCTCTGCTGACAGAGCAGCAGTCAGCAGCAATGGCATCATTAACGAGGTGCCTGCACATTCATGCGCCTTAACAGTGGTATTAGAAAAAGTTGGGGAGGTGAAAAACCAGAGAATGAGAGAAGCAAAATTTGAAAAAAGTATCAATGGGGAATGCAAAAGAGAAAAAAGTGAGGTGGGGCTGGGGCAGGAGGGTCCCCTAGAGACGGAGGCCGCCAGGACTGCTCAGTGAGACCCTGTCTCCAAAAAACAAAAAGGAAGGCAGGGGAGGGGTAGACCCCAAATCCCACAGAATGCAATGAAGAAAAGATGAAAATAGAAAAATCAGAAAAGACCAAGTCAAAGAAAAACTTCCTGTGCATTTGAAGGAGTGGTTTGTTTCCAAGATCTGTGTCTGGAGCTCAGCCGGTCACAGCCCTGTGTCCGTTCACCCCGGATTGGTCACACCCAAGGCGTTCAGTGCATGACCTTTCTCCCAGTGGTGGGCAGGAAATGGTGTCAGCCTTCCGGTCTCTGCTGGACACTGACCTCAGATAGGAGTGTAAGAGTTGAGGTGGACAGTGTCCACAGCCTCGGGCTCTGGTTGTCCCTCCTCTCCAGGATCAGGGCAGTTGGTTAGTCCTGCCCCCACTGCCCTGGGCTATGGGGAGGGAAATCTAGACCAGCTTGGAGGAGGCAGCTGTCACACCTCACGTGGTGGGGCCTGGCCTCTGGCACTGGTTGCTTGCATCAGTGGGAGGCAGGCCCTACCTTTCTGTGTCTCTAGAACCTTTACAGAAATCATCACATTTTGGGGGGGTTATGCTACCAGTTGATGATTTCATTTATAGCTATAAACTTTGCTCTTAAAAATGCCTCCACTATGTCACGGGAGTTTTTTTCTTTTTCCTTTTCTTTCTTTCTTTTTTTTTTTTTTTTTTTTGGTCTTTGTGAGACAGGGTCTCAGTGTGCAGTTTGGGCTGGTCTTGAGCTCACTTTGTAGCTCAAACTCACAGCGATCCTCCTGCCTCAGCCTCCTGAGAGCTGGGACGACAGGTGTGCACCACCCTGCCCAGCTCTGTCCCATAAGCTTGGTGTTTTACACTTCTATAGTCATTCAATTCTAGAAACTCAATTTCTTCCTTGAATTATTGTTGGTTCCCTGGTTATGAGTAACCTATTGTTTAATCTTCATGTGTTTGCATAGTTTCTGTGGCTTACTCTGTTGATTTCTAGTTTTCTTCTGGTATAATTCAGGATTACTTCAATGCTTTTGCATTTACTTAGGCATGCTTTATGGCACAAACTATGGCCTATTTTGGACAAGGTTTCATGTGATGTTGGGAAAATGTGGATTCTGGGGCTGGGGATTTAGCTCAGTGGCATAACCACCTGCCTTGCAAGCAAGCGGTTGTGAGTTCCATCCCTGGTACTGATAAAAATGAAAAAGACAAAAAAAAAGAAAAGAAAAGAAAAATGTGAATTCTGTTGTTGGATGGTACAATCTGCAGATACCTGTTGAATCATTTTTAATGCTGTAGTTTAACACTGATAGTCCTTTTCTGATTTTTTTCTGCTTACCTTAGTTGATAGAGTGGGGTACTGAAGTTCCTTTGTATGATTATATTGGTGTCTATCTGCATTTTTTTTGTACTGAGCCTTGGACTCAGGACCTCAAGCTTGTTTGTTTTGAGGCCTTGATTGAATGGAATCATTTTCTGCCCTTTCATTTTCAATCTGTGCTGTTTGTTTTGGATGCATTGTGTCTCCTGTACGAAAGAGACGTGTACATTTGGGTTTAGGATCAAATCCACCCGTCCTTGTCTTTGGATTATGGAGTTGAGAACTCTGACATTGAAAGTGACAGTGCAAGGTGTGTCCTGAATTCTGGCATTGCTTGGTTTTTCCAGTGTTGATTGCTTTAGTTTTTCTTTGGCTCATACTATCCCACTTAGATTTATACTTCCTTGTGACCTCTTTGCGGTAGGTGGCTCCTCTGTCAGTCTGTCTGCCTGTCTAGCATACTCTTGACTATCTTCTGCAATGTTGGTTTAGGGGTTATGAATTTCTTTGCTGTGGAAACTTTGCCATTGATTCTGCAAGCTAATTTTGCAGGCTATGAATGTCTGGTTTAACTATTGTATTCTTTTATGGCTTGAATGAAGGACTTCACTCTAAGCTCTCCAGAGCTTCTCTATTTCTCATGAGAAATCTCCAGTTATTCTGATTACTGGGGACCTGGCCAGGGTCCCCAATCTCCCAAACAAGTGTATGGCAGAGGCTTAAATAAATGAGACAGTGGTGGGATTTTAGGGCTCCAGGTTGATCAAAACCCTCTGCAGAGTTCGAGCCTCTGGGGGCTGAGACGAGGGCTGTCTCTGGGCGGCCCGTATTTATTTAGTTTTTCAAACAGGGAACGAACGGTTAGAGTGGAAAATGCAGGAAACTGAGCAGAACCTGGGCTGGTCCGAGGACTCTGCCAGCTAACAGACTGTGTTAACTTAGGAGAAGGTCTCCATTGGCTTTTCACTCCTGAGCTACAGGATGTATTTAGCTGACTGGAGCTGGACCTGGCAGGCAGGGGAAGCGAACGGTGACTGCGTGGGGCTCGGCCTCTCCCACAGCCAGGGCAGGATTCCAGGGCGCTTGCTTCTCTTCTGCTTTGCCTTCAGTGTCTCTGCTTTCTGGGCTGATGGTCAGCTCTGGTTGGTTTCTGGAGCTCTTCCTTTGCTTCCCAGGAGGCTGCTGCCTTTCAACTTCAGGTCCTGGAGAGACTGTATTTTGCTACCAGCTTTTATGCTGCCCTTTTTTTCCTTGCACCCATTTCCAGGGCACAATTCCTGTGTAAAAGGGGAGACAGAGAGGCAGAGAGGGAGGAAGGAGCAGAGGGAGAAAGAGGGACTGCTGTGCTGCCTTCTCTACCATCCACCTCTGAGAATTTTCAGAAACACTATATGCATTAAACAATAACTCACCAGCACAATTGTGCACGGCTGCAATCCCAGCCCTCGGGAGGCTGAGGCAGGAGGGTCATTGTGAGTCCGAGACCAGCCTGGGCTACACAGTGAGCTCAAGGCCAGCCCGGACTGCAGAGAGAGCCGGTGTCAAAAAGACAAAAACAAAGCAAAGCGCCTCAAAAAACAGTAACTCCCCACTCTGTCTTCCCCTCCAGCTTCTGTCACTTGATTTTTCAATTGATCTGTTTTTTTGTTTTTTTGGTTTTTTCCTTTTTTATCAGTTCTGAGGATCCAACTCATGACCGCACCCTTGCAAGGCAGGCGCTTATGCCACTGAGCTAAATCCCCAGCCCCTTTTGCTTTTTTGATTTAAACTCCATCTTTTTCTGCAGTGCTGGGAGCAGAACACAGGGCCTGCTGTTTGCTAGCCCAGCGCTCACCCTGAGCCACAGCCCAGTCCAGTGCGTGTGAATGGACGGAGGGTCTCTGCGTTCACCTGGCCACAGCGCCCTGAGCTGGGTGTCTGTGTGCGGCTGCTCCTCCTCGCTTTCTTGGCCTTGCCCTCCAGCCCTGGCTAGCGGGTCCAGGCTTCCCTTCCTGGTCTCCGCGAGCAATGCTCTACTGAGCAGGTGGACTGCAGTGGACTGTGTCCACCTTTGTTCCATTGGCCTCGAAGCTGCTCGCTGGTCCCCAGTGTCCATTCCAATGCCCACCTGCCGGTCTCTGCCCAGATTTTCCGGAGAGCCATGCTGTGTCCAGGCTGAGTCTGTGGGCAGCACAGGTGCGGCTTTGAGAAGATGTGGTACCCGGTGCAGGCTGGCCTGGAGCTCCCAGTCCTCGCTCCTCAGCCTCCTCAGTGCTGACCTTACCAATGTGAGTGGCCACTTGTGGCTTTTTGGCCAGGTTTCTCTGGGGCCAGGGTTTGCATGGGATAGTTCCACTTGTGCCGAGTCATGTCATCTTAATCCTCATTCCTAAAGAAGGACAGTGACGCTCCTGATGGCATCCCCAATGCGGTTAACCTGGTCAGTCACCTTCTTCCCAGGCGCGGTCCCTGCCCCTGTAACGCTGTGTCCTCCCCTCTCCCGCAGCTGTCCTGGCCCATGGAGTGGCTCCGGGGTCCCTGGCGGCACTGTCTCTCCGGGCTGCTCTTACAGCTGCTCTTGTCCATCTGCTTCTTCTCTTACCTGAGGGTGACCTGGGACCCTCCCACGGGGTCCCCTACACCCGCGCCCAGCTCGGAAGACGTGGTCCCCACAACTCCCCAGAGGACCCCAGGGCTGGCTTCCACCACGCAGCCCCCCGCACCCCGGGGCCTGCTCATCCTGCTGTGGACCTGGCCATTCGGCCAGCCAGTGGCTCTGTCCCGCTGCTCGGAGATGCGGCCGGGCACAGCCGATTGCCGCATCACCGCCAACCGCAGTGTGTACCCCCAGGCCGATGCGGTCATCGTCCACCACCGGGACATCAGTTTCAAACCCAAGAGGCAGCTGCCACCTTCGCCTCGGCCACCGGGCCAGCGCTGGGTGTGGTTCAGCTTGGAGTCCCCCAGCCACTGCAGGCAGCTGGAGGCCCTGGATGGCTACTTCAACCTCACCATGTCCTACCGCAGGGACTCGGACATCTTCACGCCCTACGGCTGGCTGGAGCCCCGGGACGCCCAGCTCCCCGCCCCGCCCCTCAACCTCACGGCCAAGACCAAGCTGGTGGCCTGGGTTGTGTCCAACTGGAAGGAGAACTCGGCCCGGGTGGGGTACTACAACCAGCTGCGCCTGCACCTCCCGGTGGACGTGTACGGCAGGGGCCACCTGCCCCTGCCCCGCCAGGACATGCAGGAGCGCCTGGCCCGCTACAAGTTCTACCTGGCCTTCGAGAACTCGCAGCACCCCGACTACATCACCGAGAAGCTGTGGAACAATGCTCTGGGGGCGCCCGCCGTGCCCGTGGTCCTGGGCCCCAGCCGCGCCAACTACGAGCGCGTCCTGCCGCCTGACGCCTTCATCCACGTGGACGACTTCCCGAGCCCCCGAGCCCTGGCGCAGCACCTGCTGGCCCTGGACCAGGACGACGCCCAATACCTGCGCCACTTCCGCTGGCGGGACACGCTGCAGGTGGGCATCGGAAACTGGACCCTGGCTTTCTGCAAGGCCTGCTGGCGGTTGCAGGAGGGTCCCAGGTACCAGACAGTGGCCAGCATTGCAGCCTGGTTCAAGTGACGCAGCTGGCATGCCCTCCCCCCCGTGGTATGTCACTGCAAGGGACTCTTCTGCTGGAGAACTTACCTGCGGGAAGTCTCACACGCAGGTGTCCCCTGCAAGAAAAAGGGGATCCTTGTGATGGGATCACCTGCAGAAGACTCCGGGACTCTCATCTGCTGACATTCATCTGCCAGAGTCTCATGTGCTGGGCACCCACTTTTCAAGGGTGTCCCCTGCCTGGGCTCTCACCAGCCTGGGGTCTCATGTGTCTCAGGCCACACCTGCTGGACACCTTGGATTTCAGACACATCAGTAGCTCGGCTGTCACCTGCTGCTAGGAACTGGATTCTGGGGCACTCACCTTATAGGGCCTCACCTGCTGGGTACCCCAGAACCTAACCCTTGTTCCCAGGGTGCTGGCTCCCTGGGGTCCTACTCATTGGTAAGAGTTCATCCAGATGGCTCGCCACACCCGTGCCATTGTTCACTGACTGTAGGCAGTGCAAACAGCACTGTCCCCATTTTCCAGACAGGTGTGATGCAAGGCAAATGCATGTGTCCTCTCGTTCTAAAATAGCCATCTCTTCCCAGGGTGCTTTTCCTGTCAATGTCCAGAGTCACTTTCCGCCGTCATTCTGTGGGTAGAGAGTGGCCTTGTTTAGAGGGCAGAGGCCAGGAACATGGCACATGCTCATCACCCCGGGTGCCCTGAAGAGACCCCTGTGGCCGGGAAAGATGTGACCCCAACGTCAAGAGTGTGCAAGGCTCTGTTCTTCACCTTCCTGTGGCCTTGAAGGTCAAGCCTGTTGGGAGGGGGATCCTGGGGCTGGGCGCTGCCAGGAGGTGACAAAGGCCAGGGCAGTGGGGAGTGGACGGCCAGGCCGTCGGGGGTCCTAGCAGGGCAGGGTTGGGACACCGCCCTGCCCTGCCCTGTGTCCTGGTTGAGGGAGCCCGGCTGTGTGCGTCCGGACGTGTGAACTTGCTCTTGGAACACTCCGCATGCGCAGTGCTGGGCTGCCGCTGCGGGTGCGGCGCGCGTGTGGGCGGAGGGCTGGCGTAAGCACGCAGCTCGGTCTCCCTGGAAGCATATGCAGTGTGACTCACATTGGGAGGTTGGGGTGACAGGCGCTCAGGACCGAGGCGTCTGTCACCGCCATTGGCGGGAGGCTGTGTCTGAAGGCAACGGTGTCGCGGGCTGCACCTGTGTGACCCTGTGTGTGTCCCTGTGTGAGGGGGAGGCTGCGGTGTGTGCAGCCTCCAGGCATAAGGCCTGACCCTGGGGTCATGAGAATCCGGCCCCGGGAGCCTACCGGAAGCTCTGTTTCCAGTTATCGCGTGGCCTGTGCCAGCGCCCCGCGCTCAGGGCGCTGCTGCAGCTGGCGGAGACCAGGCCTGGGGAAGGTGTGCGCATGCGCACACTTGCACGCACGCGCACACGGACGCAGGGAGCTTCCTGACTGCCGCCCCCCAGTCCCAGGGTCCATCTACCCCCTTTTTTTTGTCTGGGGCTGAACTGTTTCCCCTGTGAGGTTTGGGGACCGCAGGACCAGACAGAATGGGGAAACTGAGGTTCTGAGCCACTGGCCCTTCGCAGCATCTGGGGACTCTGGCCTCTGCTAAAACGGGGCTGAGTCAGCCCACACAGTGCCGGAATCCACCACCAGCCCAAACCTCAGAGTCAGAAGACTGTGGGGGTGGGCGGGGACCCCAGCCAGCCACGGGCTTGCAACTCCCTTCCAAGCAGACCACCCACTGCGGGGGCCTGGCCACCAAGCCCTGGCCGGAGGGCTCCTTGGATGAAGTCTTGCTTCGTAGCGGCCTCGAGTGTCTCCCATTGCAGTGGGGGTGAAGTGCGGTGTACCCACAGGCCTGGTGGTTCTCCCGGGGAGGGGGAAACTTATTTTGGAGACATGGTTTCACTGTGTAGCCCAGGCTGGCCTTGAACTCACAGGGATGCTCCTGCTTCAGCCTCTTGAATGCTGGTGTTAGAGGCGTGCACCATCATGTTAGGGGGTGCATAGCTTCTGATGGTGCCCTCAGTTTTCAGATAGATGCGCACAGAGTCTGGGAAGGCTTTGAGGAAGTCCTGAATTCAGAGGTATTGGAGAAGAAAGGACTGTTCCTACAAGAGTCGCCTGGTTTCAGAGAGGCAGAAAAGGGCCCTGTGCCCTCTAGAGCTACCTGGGAGAGGTGGGGCAGAGCGCCCCTGGAGCCCCTAGTCTGGGGCACAAGGGAGGGGGTGTGTCCCAGTGGGAGGGGGCAGCGGGTCGGGTCCCCCCCTCAGGAAAGCTGGGGGGGGATTGTACCCTGCGGAGGTGTCCGACGACCAGGAGGGGAGGGGTGCACGCTCTCTGCCCCTCCCCCGCCACTCCTCAGCCTCTGGCACCCATACACCCCTCCCAAGCTCTAGGAACACAACGCCCCGCCTCCCGCTGCCATCTGGGTCTGCCAAGCATCAAGGTGACACCGGGGACAAATCCAAAAGCTGGCCCAGAGCTTTTCCGCGATTCTCTGTGCAGGCCCATCGTAAATCCCTCTTCAGGGCTTTTATAGACCCAGGGCTCAGGAGACCCAGTTCTGCCCCAGCAGGCGCGGACCTCGGGCTGCGTAGGGCTGGCGCCTGCCCAGACCTACACCCACCCGGAGGTGGGCAGCGTGCGGGCACAGTATTTTTAGCTGGTGAAAGGAGAGAGCCCTGCAAGCAGCCGACCAGCCCTACCGGGCAGGGGAGGCCTGTGTCCACTTTGACCCCACTGTCTTCACCATATACAGGCTGTCTCCCTCTCCAACCTGCAGTGGCCCTCACCAGCACACACTGAAGGAAGGTGAGCCGGGGGCACACCTGGGAGGAGCACCGGGCCAATCGGAAGGTGGGGAGGAGGGCCCTGATCACAACATCCACACGCATATTTTTGTGTGCGTATAGACAGTCTTACTGCACTATCCAGGCTGGCTTTGAACTCGAGATCCTCCTGCCTCAGCCTCTCAAATGCTGGGATAACAGCAGGGAGCCACCACCACACCTGACCCCACTTTCTTTTTTGTACTCCCTAAACAGGACCCCCTTTGGATCTACTTTTCTTTCTTCCCAAAGCAAATGGGGTCCCCACCGCCAGCCCTCAGGAGTTCTGCCTACGCGCTCCCCTTTTCCCAGGGGAGATCCAGAGGTACTAGCTTGAATCACCAGCCAGGCACGAGTTCTCACACTTTATCTCAATACAGTTATCGCGAGAGTCCCGCGGCCTCGACGGTGTACTCTGCACATGCGCAGTCTTTTGCAGGACTGGCCATGCTGACCGGTGGGTACCGTCGGGGGAGCAGGGAGAGCGCCGCCGTCTTGCCAGGCAGAGTGAGGTAGGGTCACACGCAGGCACACTCGCGCGCCGACAGCTCGTGCACCGTGTGGTAGCGGCTGTGCACGTCCATGAAAGATACCTCGTCTTCGTAGGCTGTCGGGCGACAGCAGGGCTGCGCGCGCACCCGCTCCCGCCGCACGCGCCGCTGCTGGCGCAGGCGCCGTAGCCCCAGATCGTAGACGCGCGAGGACGCCTCGCACGCGCCTGCGCAGTAGCGGAACAGCACCGTCTCGTCCGACGCGTAGCCCAGGCCTAGCTCGCTCACGCGCACCTCCAGCTCGCGCAGCCCACACGGCTGCGACCCCGACCGCGCACGCGCGCGCCGCCGCCGGGGCCCCGCCCGACGGCGCGGACCTGAAGGGCGGCTGGCCCAGGGCGCCAGCTCTCGCAGCTCCACGGCGTCCGGGGCGCCCTGCAGCAGCGCTCGGTCTGCGGGGAGAGAGGAGGGGGGTCAGTGGGCCCCTGCAGCCCCGTCCCCGGGCCCTTGCTGGGACCCACGGCCAGATCCGTGCACCCTCTCTGGGCAGAACTGGCAGGTGCACGTTTGGACTCTGCCACCGCGCCCCTCTCGACCCTGCACGTAGCTCTTCTTTGACTCTGCACCTTGACCTGAGCTGAACCGGGCCTCGAATCACGTCCTTTGGGCCCCCACTCCACTGCTGCCCACCTTCCCTTCCCTCCGTCTGCTTTCCCAATTGTGTGTGGCCCCGCCTAGCCTGTGCTCGGCTGCCCGGGGGCACTGACGCACCCTCTCTGGGCAGTGTTGGGCGTCTCCTCCCGGCGGGGCTGACCGTGCCTACCCTTTAGCTGAGCTGTCATGGGTCCCCATCCAAAGCCCCCATATTCTGTCTCCGAGCCTTGGGACGCCTCTCAAGCGCCCTCCCTTCTGCTCGCTGCAAGGGCCCTCAGTTTCTTCATTCTCTGTCTAAGAGACAAGTGGTGGCACGCACGCCTGTCAGCCCAGCATTCTGGGAGGCTAACGAAGAAGAACCGCAAGGTCCAGCCCAGCCCGGACAACTTAGCGAGATGGACTTCGAGAAAAATCAGGGCTGGGGAGCTAGCTCAGTGCAAAGGCCCTGGGGGCAATCCCGCTTCTGGGGGTGGGAAAGAAACAGCGTTTGTTTCTGTCCCGAGGCCTCCGCGTGGGTGGCTGCGGCTACTGTGGGAAGCCGGAGGAGGGAGATGTGACCAAGAACCAGGTCACTTCCTGGCAGGTGGCAGAGAAGACAGACAGGCCGACTTTCTCTCTGCCTCCCTCATTTGCCCAAATTTGGTCCAGTCCTAGGGTCTTCTCCCAGTCACCAGGAGCTGCCTCAGGTCACAGATTCCCAGGGCTCCAGGTCGAGATTTATGACCCAAGGAGCTGGCCCTGCCCAGCAGTGCCACTCGGAGAGTGGGGCAAGCTCTGGAATGGCTGGCAGCGCCCGAGGAGGGAGGGCGGATGGCGGCCAGGAGCCCATGGAAGAGGAAATCGTGACTGGAGATCCTGGCCGAGCCGAGGCCGCGGCACCTGGCCTGGGGAGTCCGGGGAGGGGAGGCTGCCCTGTCTGCGCTGCAGGGGGGTGGGGGGGCCCTTCTCAGACACACACACACCCTGGCTCCGAGCTTGGCTTGGGCTCTGGCACTTTCATCCCTGCCAGGTCCCTGCTCTCTGCCTCCGTCTCCGTGTCTGCTCAAGGAATCCTGCTTCATCCCTGTCTTGGACTGGACTGAAAAAGGGGGTGTCTGGGGACCTCAGGGGCAGCAGATTCTGTGTCCCTTAAGTCCAAGATGGAGACAGGAGAGTGGAACAGTGCTGTGGGCCCAGCTCATTTCTGGTGCTTAAAATTGTACCATGAAGCTGACTGACTTAGCGTGATTCTGTCCCAAAATAAAAAATATTTTAAAAAAGACCGAGGTTACCAGGTGTGGTGATGCACGCCCGTAACCCCAGCACGTGGGAGCTGAGGAGGATCAGTGTGAGTTAGAAGCCAGCCTGGGTTACACAGTTAGTTCAAGGCCAGTCTGAACTACACAGAGAGACCCTATCTCAAAAACGAAAAACATGCGGGAGCTCATGGAAAGGCCCTGCATTCTCCCTGCAGGACTGCAAAAGGAATTCTGTGGTGTTTCCTCCCCCAAGTGACCTCGGGGTTGCCAAATAAAATACTGGTTCACAGTTAAACTTGAACTTCACAGAAGCAACAAATAACCCGGCTGTCCCTGCCTCCCTGCAGCAGGGCTGGCTGTTTCCAAGGGGTCTGCTAAAACAGAGATGAGACTCCAGCCCCTCCGCCCTGTTCCTGTTCGTCTTCCCAAGACTGCTCCCAGCTTGGCCTGATGATGGACGTTTGCCATCAGCCATTCAGGAGGCAGGAGGATTGCACGGTCAAGGCCAGACTGTGCACCTTAGATCCCGTCTCAAAAAATGAAATACAAATTTTAAAAAGGGCTGGGGATGTGTGTAGCTCACTGCAAAGGCCCTGGATTCAATCCCCAGAACTAAGAAGGAAAATCCACCCTCGAGGAATTGGTTCAGGGTTTTGGTGGGCCAGCAACCACTCTGTCCATCTCCCCACCACCCCTCCGGCCACCTACTATGGGCCCAAGGACAGCAGGACATGAGACAGACAGGCAACCGCTCCCACCTGCCCCCCCCCCCCGTAAGCTGGCTTAGGTCTGGGGACCCAGTGTCCTCGGAAGGACTCTGCTCGTAGGAAGCGCAGGGTGCTGGGGTTTAAGGGCCCAGAGCCCCTGCCCAAGGCCACCCTTGTCCATTGTGAGGGCAAGAAAGGACTGTGTGGGCCGCCAGCCGGCGAGCAGAGACCTGCCGGGCCCCACCCGCACGTGCACGCCCGCATCTGCGCCCGGCCACCTGCATGGCCATGCGTGTGTGCACGAGGGGTCAGAACCCGCGGCCTGATGGGCGCCGGGGCCAGGTGAGGAGCTGGGCGAACGAAGGCCGTGCTCTGCGGTGGGCATTCCCAGGGCGCCTGGCAGTCCTTACCCCGGACTGGGGGGTCTCTGTGTCCCTTTTTGGGTTTCTCTGCCTGTTTCCAGATCTCGCTGTCGCCTGTCCTTGGTCCCTGACATCCGGAAGGTCACCCTGGGATCCGGCCTCCCTCTCTCCCCGGCCCCCCGCTGCGCTGCAGGGCCAGGCTGACAGCCAGGTCTAATCTCCATCTGGTCCCCACGGCCCCTCAGGGCCAGCGCCTAATTCCTTGTGACAGCTAAGCTGAGGGACCCCGGTTGCCAGCAGCCAGCCTCCCCCGCACCCCCAGCCAGTCCCGCGGGAGGGGGGGGGATTTGCAAGCTCCTCTCCCCCCATCTGAAAGGCAGGGCCCGCAACCCCCCCACGGTGGCCGCCCGGGGCAGGGCACAGCTTACACTGAGCCAGGCGGGCGATCCGGGCGTCCAGGGTGCGCGGGGGGCGGCGCAGCGGGGCCAGCGCGGGTCCCAGGCGGCGGCCGAGCAGCAGCCCCTCTCGACAGATCCACAGAGACAGCACAGAGCTACAGAGCACGGAAGCCAGGGCCGCCGCCTTCCAGCGCTGCATCCTCGGCCTGCGGGGACGGGGACGGGGTGGTTAGGCGCCAGCCTCGTCCGTCTGTGTCCTTGGTGACAAACGGGGTGCCGGGCGCTGCACACAGAGGGGCCCCTGCCTTTGAACACCCCATGCTTAATGATCATTAGTAACATCGAAATGATTCATCTGGGAACCATGGAACACGATGATAAGGTATTGCCAGGCACAGGGCAGGCTCTGAGCCAGGGTAATGGGGAGCCACCCTCATTTCAGGGTCCCGCGGTGTTTTCCTAAGAAGCCCATGGCACAGCCCAGACTTGAACATGGGTAGGAGTTGGCCAGGCATCGGAGCGAAGTGTCTGCGGTAGGGAGGGAGAGCAGAGCAGTGCAAAGGCCCTGAGGCCCAACGCCGCAGGCGTATCCAGCACGTGCAGGGAGGTGAGGCCTTCCAACTTTCCGGTAGGTGGCGCTGCAGGACGAGAGTGGGAGGGACCTGGGCTGACCCTGCGCCCAACTATTTATGTCCTTGAATGACTCCTTGACTCTCTCGGAGCCTCAGTTTCCCCTCCTGGGAGATAAACCGATGCTCCAAAGTGGGCAGCGATGGCCAGCCCGCCCCCAACACGGAGCGCCACACCCGGGGCCTTGGCACAGGCTGCATATCCCCCCACTGCAGTCCCCCTTCCCACAGCGCCTCCTCCAGGACGCCCACCCTGACTGCCTCCCCGCCTGCCCCCGCGGTCCACCACCTGATGTCCCCTCCCGTGAAGGCGCAGCCCGAGCTGGCGCGGGCTGCATACAGTAGGTGTTTAATAACGCCGCGCCTCCCCTCCGGGCCCAGACGCTCCCCGCGCCGGTGCCCCGGCCGCGTTTACATTCCCGCAGGCCGCCTGGGGTCCCGGAGCCTGGCCGCCCGCCCGGCGTAAACATTTACAGCAGCTCCGAGCTGAGCGCGCACGGCTGCCGCCGCAGCCCTGCAGGCGGGCTCGGCCGGTGTCGCCAGCGCCCCCACGCGCACACCGCCGGCCGCGCAGGCCGCGGCGTCTATCAGCGAGCGATTTGCCTTCATTTGCACCGGGGACCATCAGCAAAGTGCTGGGGAAACCGAGGCACAGAAGGGGGGGCTTGCCTCCATTACTGGTATTTGGTACGGCTTGGCGTGTGCGTGCGTGCGTGTGTGTGTGTGCGTGTGTGTGTGTGTGTGTGTGTGTGTGTGCGCGTGCGTGTGTGTGTGTGTGTGTGTGTGTGCCCAGGCCCTCCCGCCTCGCCCCCAGCCCGGGATGGGCATTTCTGTATTTTTGTCTCTGTTGCTGGCGTTAGGGGATGAGCTCCCGACGCGGGAGTAAGCAATTCCTGGGCCGGTGAGCCGCACATGGGAAGAGGGCTCAGTGGACTCCCGAGCACGCGGCAGGTGCTCCACGGCCACTTGCAGAAGGGAGAAGGACGGAAGGGAAGACACGGCGTGGCACGGGGTGGCTGGATCCCAGGTTCTATTCTGGGAGGCGGGAGGAGCCCAAGTTCAAGCCGAACCCGGGCAACTTAGCAACACCCTGTCTCCAAATACCAAATAAAAGGCCTTGGGAAGTGGTTGGGATAAGGCTCTGGCTTCAATCCCCAGGACAGCAAATGCATAAATTATAGCAGCCCCGATGCTGATGCCGGGTCCGAGGGCTCAGTGTGTGGCCGACTCCCCACCAGGCCCCTTCGCGAGGCCCGCCCACCCCTTTATTAAGCGCTAACTGTACACCAAGCTGCGGGCCTCCGCCTCCGGGTCTCTGTCCTGCTCCCAATAAACCCATGCATGCATCCGCGCATCGTCCATCCGACGTTTATTGAGCACCTATGATGTGCAGGCTGGAGGACACGGTGGGCCCAAGATGCACAAAACGCAAACATACTGGGCCTGGGGGCGCACCTGTAACCCCAGCATTCGGGGGGAGGCTGAGGCAGAAGGGCCACCACGAATCCGGTCGCCACAACAGCCCAGGCTGTAATGAGCTATAGTGCGTTCGAAGTCAGCCTGAACTACGCAGCGAGACCCTGTCTCAAAAAGAAAGAAAAAGATGAAACATTGGGGCCCAGAGAGGTGAAGTGATTTGCCTAAGGCCACACAGCTTGGACTTCGAATGCTGCTGGCGGCCTGGCCACCAGGAGGGAAAGACAGGGAGAGACAGCCACCCAGACTTCACTGGCCCCCCCAGCCCCCTGCTCCCCCACACCTGAGTTGGGGAGTGGCTTGCCTCAGTTTCCCAATTAGGCAGGAAGAGACCTAATTCTGATAATTTCCACTATGAGTTTAATGGGGGGGGCAGGCCCAGGACGGCCTTGGGTCCAGACCCCCATGGGAGCTCCAGGGAGACAGGAAAGCTCGGCCCAGCAGTGGAGGCTGATAAGCCGCCTTAACAATAGCCTTTCTGTGTGGGGGTCACCCGACTGGTTTCTCTACGGGCACCACCAACCCGGCCAGGAGGGGGTTGCGCAGGTGTGGCAGGGGACGTGGGGGGCCCGGGGTCACCCATGCTGCCTAGTGGGGCTTGGTCCCTTCCCTGCTGGGGATAAGGGCCACAGGCTGGGGAACTCCCACCGCCCAGGCTGGACCTGGACCAGGGGTCTGCAGACTCGTGCTGGGACCGGTGGGCAGGGAGGGGAAACGGGGACTCAGAGAGGGGCCTCGGGTAGCTCAGAGTCACACAGCCGGGGAGTTCTCTCCACTGGGCGGAGGGAGGGCGCTATTTCATGGCGCTTCCCAGGGAGAGGTAGGAGGTCAGGGGACCCCTCTTTCCACCCAGTCATCTCTTCTACTTTGGGGAAGCTGGGAATTGGCTTATTGCCATTTGGCAAACTCCTATTCATCCTTCAAGGCTCTAGCTCTTAGAGCCCCTCCACCAGACTGCCTCCCCTGGTCCTCTAGCTTCATGGTGTCTGTCCATGTCACCCTCTCTTTCTCTTCACTCAGGACCCCTCGGTGACTCAGTATCCCCATCTGCAGCCGAAGGGTGATGCAAATCACCCCTGGAACCCCAGGAAGGGCCTGACCGACTGTCACGGCCACCAATAGAGCTAGTGAGCCGTGAAGCCACGCGTGCGCATGCGTGAGCATGCCACGCACCTGGGAGTGCGCATGCGCAGGGCTCTGGCCTGGGAGTTCTGTCCCTTCTGGCTAATTACCAGGCTCCCTGGGCCTCAGTTTCTCCACCTGTACAATGGTCTGCATCGGGCCCGCCCCTATTTAGAGAGCTACTGAATTCAGTGACCACCTGCTGGCCTGAGAGTGGCAGCCCGCATGATGGGGACCTCAAACCCACGCACCTGTGGGCTCGACTCAGTTTCCCCGCCAGCCCTCGCAGCCGCTCGGCCTGCAGCTGGGCTCACTCTCGGGGCTGTCTGGGTGGGGAAACTGAGGCGCCGTGAGGGGTGGGCCTGGGCTCTGGGCCTCTCAAGAGGAGAGGCTCGAGGGCTCTCGCAAAGCGACCAAAGGGGGCCCCCTCCCTCGGAGGCCCCAGGGCCCGGCCCCACCCCACCCGGCAGGCAGGGAGCCGGGGGCAGCTGCAGGCTGGCGACGCACATCTGGGGGCAAACCAGGAACATCTGGCCAGCACAGATGTTTGCACGCAGTGTCTGTGGGGGCCAGAGGCCAGGCTCTGGGGCGGGAGAGCGAGCCTCTCCCCCCCCCGCCCCCGCTTCCCTTCCGCTCCTGGCCAGGGGAGGGCGCCCAACCCGGCCTCTTCTCCTCAGCCCTAGAAAGGGAGGGCTGCTCGCCTGCTGGAACCATCCTGGCTCCCCACTGCTCCGAGGATCAGGTCCCAGCGCACAAGCTTGTCTCTGGGCCTTTCTTTGTCTAAGCGAGGGGTGTGAAGGCAGGGAGGGCGCCTTGGGGGGGGGAGGGTCTGCAGGTGCTGGTGAAAATCACTGTGCATGTAATCACAGCACCTTAGGAGGCTGAGGCAGGAGGGTCTCAAGTCCAAATCCCGCCGGACAACTTAGCAAGACTCTACCTCAAAATTAAAATAAATAAGGGCTGGGAAGTGCACATCAATGGGAAGACCTTGGGCTCAACCCTCAATACTGGAAATAAAAAGGGCATAAATTATTTTGTTCCATTTGGAATATGTACTGCCAAAGCAAGCCCATTTGGTAGATAAGAAAACTGAGGTCTAGAGAAGTGAGGTGACTTGCTCAAGGTCACACGGCCCAGGGCTAGGCCAGGATTGGAACACTGGTTCAGCAAACTCCTAGTCACTCTTCAAAGCCTTAGTTCCCACACCCACTGCTCCTAACCACATAGTCACTGGCCTGTGTAACTAGAAGAGTAATAATAACACTAATAGCCAACAATGTTGCCTTAAGGCTGAGTGCTTTCCCCTACATTCAGTCCTGCTCACAGCCCCTGAAAAAGATGCTGACAGCCTGATTTCTACATAGGGAAACTGAGGCTCAGGGAGGTTACGTGATGACTCAAAAATCACACAGCAAAACAAGGTTAAGCCAAGGTCTCTTAATAACTCCACAGCCACTTCCCAAGAGCCCTCTGGCTGAGGTCAGAAGCCACAGAGGCTGTCAGACCTGCTGTACGGAGGCCAGAGGGGTTGAGAGGTTTTCTCAAAGACACACAGCAGAGCAGAACCGGCAGGGAAACGCCTGAGAGAGAGGAGCGTGGCTGGAACAACCTCGGCCAGAGGTAAACCGGCCGGGCCGGGCACAGCCGTGTCATTCCTGCACTCTGGGAGGCTGAGGCAGGAGGATCCCAAGCTTGAGGCCAGCCTGAGCAGCTCTGCAATTTAGCAAGACTCTGTTTGACAATAAAAAATAAACAGGGTTGGGAACGGAGCTCGGTTTGCAGGCCCTGGCTTCCACCCCCGGACTGAAAAGGGAGGAGGGAAACGGCTGGGGGCTCTGGGTGGCCCAGGGGCACAGTCCGGGCACAGCAGGCGGCGGTGGCAGGGAGCGAGCTGGGCGGCAGCCGCGCTTCCGGCCCCCTGCTGTCGGCCTGTAAAATTCCCACCTTGACCACACAGGCGGCTGGCGGCGAGCGCGCACCTGTGGCCGGCGGGGGCGGCTGGGGTGGTGACGGGATCAGGCTAATGAGGCCTGGCACGGCTGAGCAGCTGGCGCGGCGCCCGGAGCGGGCTCAGGGGATGCGGGTCCTCGGGGAGCAGCGGGAAGCCGCCGCCCGGGGCAGCTGGCCGGCTGACCAGGGGAAACCGAGGCACAGAGCACAGGCGAGGCTGGGATTCCCACAGCGACGCAGACAGGGCTTCTGTCACCTCCCTGGACTCAGTCAAGCCTGGGTTCCTGCAACAAGCTGAGCTATTTATTTAGACCCCCATGCTGTTTCCCCTCCAGACTCAGTTTCCCAGGAGAGAGAGCAAGCCGGGTCCTGCTCATTTCTTCCAGGGCTCGCCTGAAGCCTAATTCTCTCTCTCTTTTTCTTTTCTTTCTTTCTTTCTTTTGGTCTTTTTGAGACAGGGTCTCGCTGTGCAGGTCAGCCTGGCCTTGAGCTCACTTTGCAGCCCAGGCTGGTCTCGAACTCACAAGGATCCTCCTGCCTCAGCCTCCTGAGTGCTGGGATCACAGTGTGGTCACCTTGCCCAGCTCTACAGCCTGATTCCTCTTGGACTGCATGAGGCAACTGGACAGTCGGTTCGGGCTCTCCACTTCCCACGCAGGACCCCCACGGCGTGGACACTCGGCAAGCAAAGGGTCCCCGGCCCACCGCTCCACGCTCAGCCCACACTCCCCGTGCACGCGTGGGAGCCGGCCCAGAACACAGCACACAGATACAACTCTGCGCCCCACCTCGTCCTGCCAGCTGTGAAATGGGGAGCCCAGGCTGGGGGCCTGCCGGCTGGACCTGGAAACCCAGCTCTGTGTCCTGATATTATAGACAGCGAAGTTAGGTAGAAATATGATAGGCAATCAGACAGGGCTAACCCCCACAAGACGTCAGTGCCCGAGACAAGAACACATCACAGTGGTGGCTGGAGGCTCACACATCGAAGTCCAGGCCTCAAAATAAAGATGGAATGACCTCTCCGGAGGACGAATACCATCCTATGATCCGTATCACCTGGTCCAATAAAGCCTAGCTAGGCATCAGGTCACTGAGGCAGGTGACCAGGACCTCCTGACCCATCTCTTCCAAAAAAGGTCCTGGTTCTCTCCACACACACCTGCTTCCTCACTGGACCAACATTACCTAAGCACCCATGCTTGCAATGCTATTGGCTAAACACAGATTTGGCCCTAGAAAACTTCCCGTAAGAAGTTGGCTCCGCAGCACCCCCCTGACCCCCCTGGACCCCCTCCTGCCTCGGGGAGCTGCCTGTGCACCTCCCGGCCCCTAAGCATTCATCCTTGGATTCCGGGGGGCATGATGAGCCCCGCACGCGTGACCGGGGAGCTGGGCGTGGCCCTGTTTCCCTGGCACTTGGAGGTCCCGGAGCACGGGGACTGTCCTTTGAACACACACTTGAAACAACCTCGCGTTTGTGTGCCTGTCCTGATTTTTTGATTCCTTCCGCCCCAGACTCTTGAAAGTGCTTTCTTCCACCCAAACGCCCCGCAAATCGAGGCCCAAAGCCCGAGGGGGCATTTCCTGCCGCTGGTGCCATGTCAGACACCGCGCCCCGGCTGAAGAGGGGGACTTTGTTTTCTTCTCCGAGCCCCTACAATTAGCTTTGTGCAGCTGGCCGGGGGCAGAGTGGGCTCGGGAACTCTGACCCTCAGAAGCCCCGGGATGAAAGCAGTGGGGAGGGGGCGGGGAGGGGAGCTGCAGAAGCTGGAATCTGCCCGGGCTGGTCACGCCGCCGCCCGCCCACCGCACTGGGGCTTCCTCAGCCTGCGGCACCGGCACCGGAGACAGACAAAGAACGTGGTGGAACCCGGACGGATGTAGGACCCGGGCACGGCGGGGCAGCCGGGCGGGGGTGAGGCAGGCGGGAGGGGCCCGGTCTCCCGCACCCTGCAGGTTGGGGTGACCCAGCCTTGCAGACCTGTGAGCCTGGCTGTTGCACCCCAATACCTGTGCTGATTCCTAGGGAGGTGGCTCGGTAGCACGGACCCCGGGGAGAGGTCATTTGTCCCCCCGGCCCTCTGCAGACCCCGGAGCCTAATGACCTGAAGTCACCCAGGACCTCGGGGGGCAACAGCAGGGCGCGCAGGCTTGCCTGGCCACCCCACCCCCAAACGCAATCTTTGCCCTTAAGGGACCCCCCTCCGCGGGGTTTCACGCCCTCTTGTGGCTAAACGGACGGGCTGGCGAGCTGCGCCAGGGCCGGCCCTCACCGGAGGACACGGTGTCCCCGGCAGGCAGGCAGGCAGGCAGGCGCGCGGGGAGCGCGCAGGAGCCCGCGGCTGACAGATGTTTACTTCTGCGCGCAGCTGGCCGCGACGGCAGCCCCCTCCCGGGCTGTGCGGGCCCCGAGCCCCCTCGAGGCCGCGGGGGACCCCAAGCGGAGGGGCGTCCGGGTCTCGCCCTGGCGGGGGGCGGGCGGGGGGCTCCGGGGCCGCCGGGGGGCGCCCACCCGGGCGCAGAGGGCACCGCGCGCGCGCCGTCGGGCGGCTGGAGCGCGCCCCGGACCCGGACCCGGACCCCGCCGACCTGTCGCGCCCCCGCCGCCCTCCGCAGGCAGGCGGACACCCCGGCCCGGACAGGGGACCCCGCGCCCGTCCCGCCCAGCCCGCTTACCTGCTCGCGGCGCCGACTACCCAGCCCCGGCCCCGGCCGCCGCGCCCGCCATCCGGGCCGCCCGGGCCCGCGGAGCTCGGGGGGGCCCGGGCCGGAGGAGGCGGCCGCGGGGGGTGCACGGCGCGGGCCGGCCCATGGGGTCCCCCCGGCCGCACCCCCGGGCGCCCTCAGCCCCGGGCAGCGGCCATCAGGGCGGCAGGGGCGCAGGCGGGGGCGCCCCGGACGGCGTCTCCGGGGCGCGGGGCGCGGGGCGCACGGACGTCGCGCGGGCAGCGGGCCCGGGCCGGGATCGGGCGGCGGCGCTCGGCGGCTGCACCGCGCTCTCCCTGCTGCCGCGGACGGCGGCGGGCGGGGCGGGGCCGGGGGCGGGGCGGGCGGCGGCTCGGGTTTCCCGGCCAGGAGCGGCCCCGCCCCCCGCAGCCGGCCGCCGAGGGGCGCACCCCGATCCTCCGGCGGCGCTGGTGGCTGAGTCGCGAGGACCCCCCAGACGGTGACAAAGAGCTCCCGGGGACCCCGACGGCCCCCCATCGGGAAATCCAGGCCCCCAAGACATCCGTTCCCCGAAAGAGGGGACCCCCCCAGCTCCCTCATCGCCCGGGTCTGCGGTGTCCCCTGACTGCCATACCCCACCATGTACCTCCAAATCCCCTTCAGCAAAGTAAATCTCCAGGAACGTCCCTTGGGGGAACCCCCAGAACGAATGTCCCCGGGGATTGTTTCCCAGGCCCATTCCGAGGATCCCTGTGGCATCTCTTCCAAAAATCTGGAGCCCCGAAACATCCCCAGATCTCTACCCGGAGGACTGAGAGCCCCAGTGTCCACTCTGACCGCCGGATCACGCCCCACAAGTGCCCCCTCCCCGCAGAGGAGTGTAGGACCCCCCCCCCGACCTGTTCCAAGTGCACTTTCAAAACAGAAAAAGAAATAGAAGCCCCCTCCCCAGAAAACCCATCTCCGGGAATCGGGTACCCGTAGTTTCCCCTAAAACAACACACAACACCCCAAGACAGGAGAAGAGACCAACAGAGCCCCCCTCCAGGAGCAGGTCCCCCAAATCTGGCCTCAAAACCCTGCAGGGGATCCCCTTCCCACTCTGGCTGGCGCCCCCTTCTGGGCACTAGGACCCTCGGTACCCCGTGGCATCCCACCCTCCCTGGCACCCAAACCCACCCAGCTCCCTGCCCGACGGCTCCGCGCGCCCAGCGCGCCGCCTGTCGGCCGCACCGGACTGACCCCCGAACCGGACTGGGCGAGGTGGGCGGGGCCGAAGGGGCCAAGGCCACGCCCCGGGGCCGTTGCCAGGAAACAGTGCCCTGAGGCCCCGCCCCCCGCACGTTCACTCAACCCCAGAGGTGGCTGCGCCCGCGGTCCGGGTCCTGGCCCCCCGACTTCTCCCCGCCGCCTGCGGTCTCCAGCCTCCTCCGCGCTCAGGTCCCGGGTTCCTCCGGTCCCAGGAGCCTGTGGAGGACACAGCCACAGCGAGGCCTGCGGGGACCACCGCCACCCCGCCACCTGCCTCCGGCTCCTCCTGCGGGCGCTGGATGCAAAGTGCGGGATTGAAGAGACTCGAGGTGACTGTGCGTCACAGAGTTGACGCTCCGAAGTGGCCTGCTCCCAGTCCAAGAGGAAAACCCAGGGGTCCCGTGCCCTGAAGTGCCCTGGGCTTCCACTGCCGCCCCGTGCCTCAGTTTCCCCGTGGTGTGTGACGAGTGGAGCCCGGAGGTGCAGTAAGGATCGGTGAGCGCGCGCTCCCCTGCTTGGTTCGGGGGCGCTGCTGCCCATCTCTGTCCTATCCGAGTGACAGATGCACACACGATACCACAGGGTGGCACTGGGGCCGCTCAGGCGCGGACCCCGAGTCTTACTCAAAGTGAGGTCACAGCCACCACCCTCTCCACCCTCACTCAGGGGCAGTCGCCCCACCAGACAGGGCTTGCAAGCTCGGGGCTCTGCACACACACTTGGACACAGGCCCCCAACCCCAGAACTGCGTCTCTCTCACACACACACACACACACACACACACACACACACACACACACACGCACATGCACACACACACACCCAGGGGTACCCTTACACGCTTTGCTCCCAAACTCACACGCAGGGCTGGCACACGCGCATGCGCGCACGCACAGACAGTCCCCCCCAGATGATGTTTGTGCGGCCACACAGACCAAACATCACACCCCAGCCCTGCTGCCACCCGTACCACACCCACTCCGGGAAAACACACCCCTGCCCTCATGTGCACACGCACAGTGCCCACACACGAGGCCCCTGTGCGCGGGTGTCGAGGTTCCTGGGGACACACAAGCTGGCTAGCAGCATGGCCCCCGGCCACCACGCAGCTGGTAGGGCACCCCCCACCTGGCCAGCCACCGTTAAACTGTCACCCGCTGCCCCCCGCCGCCTCCAAATAACCACAGGCACTGGAGGCCGTGGGGGTGGGGCGGGCAGACACGTGAGGTGCAGGACACACCAGACATGTGCCCACCATGTGGACGCTCGTAAAATGGTTGTCCTGGCAACAGACACTTGAAGCTTTGGTTCTGCTTCGGGGATGGAGGGGCATGGTGAATATGGGGGACCCAGGCTGAGTGGGTGGGGGCATCATCAGCACCCGCTTGTGGGGGGCCACATCCAGGGACACCCAGATGTGGAGGAGACCCGGTCACACCGAGGGACAAGGTCCTGCTACGTGGCCACACCAGAAACACAGGTTCCACCAACCCAGAGTCACCCACATACTGTGTCACCCCCTAGCAGGCGGGCGGTGACAGCCATACGCCCTGTCATGCTGTCTGAGTCACACCGCAGCCCTAAAACTGGGGCACACAGGGTCACACCTCCCTCTGCAGAATCCCTGCACCCCCTACTAGGCCGGGCGTGTTCCGAGCTGGAAAGTCGGGGACCCTCCTGGGAGCCCGGCCCTCTGGCCACCGTGCTCGCATCAGTGACACTGTGTGAGCCCGGCTGCGGGGAGGCAGGGGCCTGGGGGCCGGTGCTCTTAGCAGGAAGCACGGGTATTTTCAATGCTTTATTTTTAAAACTTTCCACGGCCCAGACGAGGGCGGCTGCAGGGCGGGGCAGGGCCTCCATGCCCCCAGCTTCCAGGGCGACTCTGGGTGGGGTCTTCGGTCTTCCCAGCCAGAGAGGTGGGGAAACTGAGGCTCAGTGAGGCGCAGAGCCTGCGGGCACTGCCAGGTGAAGCCCCAGAGGCATCTGGGGAAAGGTGCCCAGTGTCTGGGGCCCAGGTCCCAGAGCCTGCCTGTTTGCCTGGGAATTAGTTCTGCTCCTTCATGGTCTCCTCAAATGTCTGCCCCAGGTGGCTCCTGGTGACCGCCAGCCCGCTTCCCAGGGGAGTTCTTAATGGCTGTAAAATGCCATCATCAGAGAGGTCAGGCCGCAGGCCACAGGTCACACAGCAAGAAGAGACTCCAACCTGGGGGCTGGGTGACTGCAGAACTCTGCGTCCCTGTGCCCTGGCCCCTGTCCGCTCCCCGGAGGCCGCCTCTCCCAAGGGTGGGGGGGTCCCGTTCCTGGTGGAGACCCAGGCGGAGGTTCTGGGCGGCCAGAGGCTGCGGGCCAAGATTTGAACTTGGCTGGTGGAGAAATTTCCATCTTAGTGCTGGAAGTTGGGCAGGGTCCAGCAGGCCTGGGGCTGTACCCTTGGACCCCCAGGGGCCAGCCCTTTGGGGGTGGAGGTGTCCTCTGTCCCCACAGCTCACTGTGGCCTGAGCATTTGCCATCTTGGCACACCCAGCAGTGCCCTTTCCCCAGTGCCCTGCTGGGTATGTTTCTCCTCTTCAAAGTGGCTTCCAGCCCCAGGCAAGGGCTGTCTGATCAGAACCTTGGGGAGCAGGTGTTGTGGGGAGGGGACAGCCTGGGTCCCTGGCACCGCTCAAGACTGTTAGTTTTTGTTTTGTTTTGAGGCAGGGACTCGCTATGCAGGTCAGGCTGGCCTTGAACTCACAGCGATCCTCCTGCCTCAGCCTCCCGAGAGCTGGGATGACAGGTGTGCGCCACCATGCCTGGTTTAGGGATGTCAATTTTGAGCCTGCTTCTCCCCAGCCCTGGATTTCAGGGCTACAGATACCACAGTTGCACTCACCCACCCCTGGCCAGGACTGAGGGGGCCCGGGCTGGGGGGTTAGGTTGGGCTAGCACAAGACGGGGCGGGGGGGCGCTCTGGGATGGGGCCCTCCAGGCTGTGGGTGGCAGGAAGGAACCATTCCAGGCCAGGATGGTAAAAACAGGGCCTCATGTCCCCGCGGGGCCATTTACAGCCTGGGGTCGCAGGTCGAGGGCTGGGTCCCTGCGGGTCCAGGTCAGCAAGGTGGGGAAAGAATCAGGCTGTGTGGGCAGCGCGCCCGCTGGGGGCTGGGCCGGGTGTGCGGTCACCTGCGGGTGGTGGGGGGACGGGCCCCCCTCCCTGGCCCTCAGCGCCACACGCCCGGCCACCCGCTGGCCCGGCCATCTCCTGTCCTTGGCCCAGGCCGCCCTCATCCCGGTCTCCTGTCCCGAAGCCAGAAGATAAGAGGCAGCTGCCTGCACAGATAAAGGGGGCACAGCTCCAAATCCGGGGCGACGCGGGCGCCGGGCCCAGGCTGCACCTGCCTGGCCCTGCCACCCCCTTCCGGCCCCGCCAGGAGGGACAGCGGGACGAGGAGGAGGAGGGACAGCGGGAGATGCACGTCCAGGCCAAACGAGCTGTTTGCCTTGGCATTTCTGCCTGCCTGGGTTTTGTTTCTCTAATCTCCTTTCTCCCTTCCTACTAAGCTGCAGCTCCGACCCTTTGGAAAGTCTGTTCGTTTGTGTGTTTAAATTTTGAGACAGGGTCTCACTAAGTTGCCCAAATGAGGCTGTGATTTGTGACCCTCCCGCCTCAGCCTCCCTGAGTAGCCGGGATGACAGGCGTGGCTCCCTGCGCCCAGCCAGAGTGAAATTTTGAGACAGAAAGAGGAAACATTAAAAAAAAAGAAAGCCAGCCAGGCACGGTGGGAGGGGTCTGTCATCTCAGCGTTCTGGGAGGCTGAAGCAGGACCAACCTGGACGATTTGGCCATTTAGGGGGACCTTGTCTCAAAATGCAAAATTAAAAGGGGTTCCGTGCGGAGCCTGGGGTTCAGTCCTCGGGCAGGAACAGAGCAAGGGGGAGGAGAGGGAGGCTGAACAGAGCCAGCTGCTCTTTCCTCCGCCCTAGTGCTCTGCTCCTGAGAGGTCTGAGGGGGGCTTGGGCTCAGTGGGACAGGCGATGGGGGCTGAGGCTGGGGGCAGCTGGGGCTGGGTCCTGCTCAGCGGCCAAGGGAACAGGCACCGGTGGGAGGACGGAGCC